AAAAAAAAAAGTTGATTATCACAATTTTAATAAATTTTTTTAAAAATTGTGATATTCAACTTTTTCTTTTTTAAATTGTTCAGTTTTTTATGTACTTTTCAAAAAAATATATATCAAAAAAATATAAAATAGAAATTTTATCCAAAAACATGAGCCAAAATTTTTTCCAACTTTTGAAGGCAAAGAAGCTATTGAAATTTTTATTTTTTTTTTTTTCACGACATTTTTTTATCATAAATGCGCAGTAAAAACAAGCAGAATAAAAAAAATTTTAAATGTTCATTTTTCACCTAGATATTGCCAAAAATAGAGTGTAAATAATTTTTAAGAGGTTCATTGTCTCGAGTCAAGAAAAAAATTCTTTAATCAAGTAAAATTTACTTAAACCAATAAAAATTTTTTAGTTTAAGAATTTTTCTACTCAAATAAAGAAAATGAAGTTCTTCAAGATTCAAATAAATTTTTTTTTCTGTATTTAAATAATAAATAAAAATTAAATAATTACATCTGCACTATTGGCAGGTCTTGGAGTAGCTTCCCACAGCGTAGTGGAACCGGAAATTTCATCTACTGGAAGACAGTCTTCGCCGTCAGTTGACTCGTCAATAGCGTCCTGATGCGACGGCTTGAAAGCGCCTATTGTCAAACTATTGAGCTTAGCAAGAACTTTTTTATGACCTGGACTACCTATTGGACTTTTAGCTTCACGTTTTATCCTCTCCAGCGTTTCGTCGTACAAGTTCGGTTCGCACGCGCGTAATTTTTCCGTCCATTTTCCGTACAAGAAAACTAATCGTTTTTTTCTGTGGAATATGCAAAAAAAAATTTGCTTAGTTTTATTGACTAATATGTTGATGATATTTTCAGGAACTTACTCAGAGTCGGTGATGAAGCCCTCAACGCGATGTAAATCTTTGCCACTAGAACCAGCGCTCTTGAATGATAATGTGGCTTTGAGATTAGCTCCACCGTGTTGCTTTATTTCCAAGGCACCCAGTTGTTCCATCCACAATTGTCCAACCACTACGTTGTGTAGAATACAGTTGACATTTTGCCAAGTGTAGGCCTCTTTCCATTTGGGCAATTCAACTGTTACAATGCCCTTTGGATGGATTTCAATATTTTTTCCCCAAAATTTAAGCTTCGGGTGTATGCTTCCATGGAAAATAAAGTCGTCGCTGTCCGCGTGGAATGCTGAGACTGGTGGATGATGTGACACTTGTTCACATAAAATCCTAGATGTAAAAAATAAATACAATAAATACATTTCTTCTTTTTAATTACTTGTATTAATCATTAATTTTTTTAATCTTTTCTACTGTAGGTTTGATTGAAATAAAAATTGTTTAAATGGATTTAAAAATCCTGGAGTGCTTATTTACTTGAAATACTAATTATTTACCTGAAGTCTTCTCGTTCCAGTTCATAAGTTTCGCCGAGTAATGGATTAAAAGGTTTACCAAGTCGTTCCCAATTAGAGGCAAGAGCACTTACAGCAAAAGCAGAGACGTACTTGTAAAATAAAAGATTTATAATTCAGTGAGTATATTGTTGGAAAATAAGATAAATAATTAAAGTAATGGCTCAAGTAATTTGAAGATTAGATCAAAAGTACTAAAAAACAAAAGCTCCAATTACAACGGGAATGTTACATACTATTCAGTATCTAATTACTCATTAGTCATTACTTTTTCACCTTTGTCTCATATATTACTGAAATTTACAGACATTTAGTTTTTTTTAAATAAATTAATTATTATAAATGTTAATACTAAAAAAATTCAAAAGCTACTTTTTAAAATTATTTTCTTAGTACTGTTTTTTTTAAACAAAATCAAAAATTGTTAGGTGTATCTGCTCATTTCAGTATCATTGTTTCATTTAATTAAATACCTGTAGAGTGACTGTAATTTATTGATTATTTTAATTTTAATTTAAATAATAAAGTTCGGAACATTTATGGAATTAACTTTAAAAAAAAGATTTACTTTCAATTCTTTTTAAGTTTTATTTAAATTTAGTTTATATTCTTCAAATTTTTGTGTTTTTTTGTAAAACAATTGTTAGTCCAACACTTCTTTCAAATTTTTTAGACTTATTTTGTCTTATTAATACATATAAAAATGTTTTTTTGATATTTTATAATTATTTTCAAAAAGAGGGCGCTGTTTTTATAATTTTAGTTCCATAAGTGTTCCTAACTGTTACTATAGGAACATTAATGAAGAAATAAATGTTGGATATTTATTTCTTCACTTGAATATAAATACTTAAGTTAAGTAAATATTTACAAGTCGGGTCAACCATTTTAATATGTTACTATAGGAACATTAATGAAGAAATAAATGTTGGATATTTATTTCTTCACTTGAATATAAATACTTAAGTTAAGTAAATATTTACAAGTCGGGTCAACCATTTTAATATTTATTTTTTTGAACGAAATTTCTATTTGATTTTATTGATATATTTTTTTTTTGAAAAATAGATAAAAAAATAAACAATAAAAAAAAAATTTATAAATTTTTTAGAAAATTGTGATATTCAACTTTTTTTTTAAATTGTTCATTTTTTGATATACTTTTAAAAAAAATATATCAAAAAAAGATAAAATAGAAATTTTATCTAAAAACATGAGAGCCAAAATTTTTTGCAACTTTTGAAGGTAAAGAAGCTATCAAAATCTTTATTTTTTTTCTTTCACAACATTTTTTATTATAAATGAGCCGTAAAACCAAGTAGAATAAAAAAAAAACTTGAATATATTAATTTTTCACCTAGTTATGGCCCAAAATGGAATTGTAAATAATTACCATAATTTTTAATCAATTAATATAATAACTAAGAATTAAAAATAATAAAAAATTAATAAATATTAATTATATTTTAATAAATTAAAATCTAAATAATATAAAATAATAAAATGAAAATTAAATTAGCCGACATCTAAGAGTTAAAAAATTAATACAAAAAAAATAAAAAATAAATTTCATTTGTAAAAAACTCGAAAAACTGTAAGTGTAATTTTTAAAAAATATTTTCTTTCAATTTAAGTATTGAAAAAAAATTAAAAACGTCGGCTAACTTTATTAAATTATTAGATTATTCATTTATTAATGCCAAAGTCTGCTGGCCAAATGACAAGTAAAAATAAAAAAAAAAAATACAATTAATTAAAAATTTAAAAATGTTAATAACAACAATTTTTAGTATTATAATAATAATAAAAACTTACTTCAAGTCTTTTCAGAGGTGTTTCTTCAGCAGCCGCTAATTTAAGCAGTTTAGCGTACTCCATATACTCAGCGACTCTTTGAAGGAATGAAAGAGGCTCATTAAAGGTGACTGGCATCACGATCTTACTGAGGTCCTTGCCCAGTGAAATAACCGAGCAAAGATTCACCTCGGAGTGTCCACGCACTGGGAGCGTTGATCTTCAGTTTGTCACATTGTTACGCATTGTTTGTTTTTGTTAACGCATTTTGTTTTTTTTTTTTGTTTATCGATAACACAGTCAATTCAAGTTAATAACAATAATATCATTAATTATAACATTAATAATAGTAATAATAACAGTAATCATAACTCAGTCTAGTGAATGTGATTTGCAACGACCTACGTGTGCAACGAATTGCAATTGCGTAAGAAAAAATATACGTGGCACCGATACAATAATATATATATACATAAAAAATCTATGTATCTCTAAGCTGAGACTCTTATACAGAGCCACTAAAGTCGTTAACAAATTCAATTTTCACAGCATTACTTTTATTTATTCATGCATACACTTTAACCAACTAATATCTATATAAATATATATTTATATATATATATATATTTATACACTTATTTATATACATACATACATACATACATGTATCTTCTTTGTATCAACTGAAAGCTTTATTTTTAATCTCAATAATCATAAATGTGATTTCTAGCATCAGCGTTAAAAAAAAAAATTATTTTTATAAAAATAAATAATAAATAAACATTCCAAAAAACTATTTCAGGACAAAGCAGCTAATTAAATAATCTAATGAGTGTGAGACCAACCTGTACGAATGATTTTCTTTAGCCATGATTTGTATATATTATTATTGTTATTGTTATCAACCACCGCTTCAGATAATCTGTTTAAATAATTATTGTAATGATTATCAAAAATATTGACAGTATTTATTAGTTTAAAAACAAACTCTTGAACTATTTCGGCGAATTTTTTAAATTCATTATTGTAAATATTTCTTCCAACAAATAACCAATTATTAATGGCCAACATTACTCTTTAAATTCACAATTATTTTCATATATATTCTTCCCAACTTTTAAACTTTTTGATAAAACCAAATAGTTTCAATTTCAATGAAGATAATTTATAAAAATTCATATTGTCACCACTGTGTTGCAGAACCTAGAATGAATAAAAAAAAAAAATAAATTAAATTAATAAATGCAATATTACCACTTCATTACTAGACTAGTATGTCAGCAGTCAGTGAGCGTTGAACTTTGATGATTTAATGAAATAAGTAGCACATTTTAAAAATAAAGAAGAAATAAATAATTATTATTATCAATCTAGGTGGATATGATGAGCGTACACTGGTTTAGCCCCTAGTTTTCGGCCCTGTTACCCTGTCCCATCGATCTCCAACATAAAATTTTAGATCTCGCGCACATTTAGGCGAGCGGTCTATCAAGAGAGCTCGCTTTACCTTGATTTCCGCTCAACTAGTCCACAAGGAACATCAATAAATTCGAGCATGGGTAAAACACTAAATCCAGTGGTGCTAGTCCAGTAGCTAGCATTATGGAGATGCGCGTTCTTCCCACCTGGACTAAGCATGCGCGAAGACACATACATTGATGTATTTATATTTATACATCAACAATACATCTTATTATTATTATTATTTAATACAAAATACATTCAGACTCTCGATAGTTAAGTTTTTATGCCCGATTTGCACATCAATGCTCACAGATAAGGCCACTTCTTCTTATTGTAAGCGTATTGAAGAAATACATCAACAGCTAGAGATGTCACGACTCAGACCTGGAAAATGTTATTATTATTTTTTTTTTTTGCATTATGCTTGGTATCAAATCAATGTAACGACAGATGAGCAGCAAATGTATGCACGCGAAGAATACGTTTGGTCGATGACCGAAAATTATTCTTCACTCCACTTTCTATGAAGAACAACCTTGTTTTTTTTTATTGATTGACAAGGATGATGATGCTTTTTTTTTATAATTAAAGTTAAGCTTGACAGCTTAGGCTGGAAGCCGAATCAGAGGGCTTGATAATTTGTAGATAATTTGTAGAAGCTAGGTCAAATAAGAAATAGTCAATAATTGTCCGTGACAGGGGGTTACTTTACTTTGTTCTTTGTTTTATGTTATCGCAAAACTTTTTGTTGTATGAAAGGTAGATCGAAAAACAGTAGACAGTTGATGAAGATAGTTGGTACCGTACATTTGATTTAAATTCACCGCTCAGTTACCCGCTTCTTATGCTCCTCTTTTCATCGGATACGTCACGGGGATGACTATAATTTTTGGTAAGTTATTATGTGTGATAGTTAACTTAGCAGATATCTGAAAATTGTTTTAATTTTTATTACAAATTCATTATTATCAAAAAAAATATGAAAATTAATGTAGCGCATATTTAATAATTTTTTTAATTTTATTAACAAATTATGGCAAAAAAAATAAGAAAAAAAAGTGACATTTAGAAATTAAAAAAAATAAAAAATGCAATTTTTTTAAAATAATTTTTTGGAAAAAATCTTCTTGTTAAATAAAATTAAAAAATTGTCAAGTGACGGCTTACTTTTATGTCATAAAAATTCAAATTTTTTTTTATTTCTTCATGTGGAATTTTTAATGAAAATTAAGTTAGCCGACACTTAAAAATTTTTTTATTCTAAAAAAATTAACTACAAAAAAAAAGAAAAAAAATTTTCATTTGTAAAAGACTTTAAAAACTGTTAGTGCAATTTTTTTAAAAATATTTTTTTGTTCTAATTTAATTATAAAAAAAATCAAAAAATTAAAAACGTCGACTAACTTTAGTATCATAATTTTTTATATTAAAAATAGCCGACATTTTTAATTTTTTGAGTTTTTTTTTTTAAGTATTAAATTAAGTAAAAGTTCGTTTTTTTTGTAACAATTTTTTCAATAAAAAATTCTCAAAATTTTTAGATATCAGCTGACTTAATTTTAATAATTTTTTTTATTATAATTTAGTTGTAAAAATCTAAAAAATTTTTTTATTCATTTTACTAAAATTATAAATTAATTTAATTTGTATTTTGTATTTCTTCACTTAATTATGGAGCTGAAGTTAGCTGACAACTATCAATTTTTTTAATTTATACAACATAATAAATTACTATTAAAAAAAAGGCAACAATAAATTTTTTTGATATCTACAAGTGGAATTTTTTATAAAAGTATTATTTTAATAATTTATTTTCTTAAAAAAATCCTAAAAATCATCAGATGTCAGCTAACTTCAGTATTATACTTAATTTGACCCATTTCTTCACTTAATATTGATATTTTTTAAATTTTAGGTTATGTCGTGGAAAAATTTGACAGACAAGAAACATATTTCAAAAAATGATTCAAAAAGTATCAACGAAGACAAAAATAAAGATGAAAATGAAGAAGAAAGTCCTAATAAGAGATACCGAAACAGTTTTATGAAGCAATTTCCCGAATTATATCGAAGCGATGTCTCAATTAATCCAAGTTATACCGGGCTTAATAATTTACCTTAGTACTATATATATTTACCTTGATGTAATTGCGGATTTATAATTAATTTAATTATTCAATTAAAAATTTTGGTTTTTAGTTACATAAAATGCCGAAGACGCGTTCACAAAACAAAGAAGCAAATAACGAGACAAATAAACCGCGAGATTCATCACATCGCTATGATGCAGCCCTACGCGTTGTCAAGTGTCAGGATTGATAGAGTTTTCAGCGTCGGGTTTCCTCCAGAAGCCCTCATCGTGCCGGAATTCGCGACAGACAAGGAAAAAAGACGAATTAATAAACTTATGAGTGACAGATAAATAGGTTAGGTCGAATCTTTTTGTTTTTTTTAAGTTTCACTGTGAAGCTTATTGGGTTTGTATAAAAGAAAATTAATAAAACAATTGAAGTTTTATTTATTGTCAGAAATTTTATTTATTTTTCTGTCAATTATCTGAGTGTGCTTTGACAAATGTTTCGTGATAAATGCCCAAAAGGGCCTTTGTCTATTTTGTACGCCTGTGGGAAGTCACCCCTAGAGCTATGGGACATGCATGTCAGATACTTTTATTGCTTTTACTCAGAAATGTTTTAGTGATTGATTGAAGAAATATTTTTTTTACTAATGATGATGCTATTGATTAATTAATTGGTTTTTCAGGTGAGGAATGGGTTCGTTAGAAGAGTAATGGATAATGAAATAAATTCACTGGCGGTGGAAATTGCAGGGACTAATGTATCTACTGCGTATATTTATTCCCCGAAAAATCAATCAGCGAGTTTGGGAATTTCTCATCCTTTTATTGTTATATTGCTGAAGAATATGAAGAGATATTTCACAATGGAAATTACGGTATAATTAATTATTTTATTTTATTTAATTACTGTAGTAGATTTCAATCTCAACTTTTAAAAAAACCTTGCTGTTTCCTGACTCAGCTCAGCTGATTCAGAAAATACCACTAACTCAAAAATTTATGTATAAATGTATTTTAATATACGATAACTCACATAATTTTTATAGGATCTTCATTAAACATATTATAAGGTAAAAGACCCAGTTATTGATACTGGCCTAGTTGTTTGACACTTGCAATTTTAGCCTAATTAAAAAAATAAAATGTTCCCAAAAAATCAATTATCTTAAAATTTATAATTATTAATTTTTTTTTTTTTTTATTAATTAAAATAAAATTGCAAGTGTCAATAACTAGGCCAGTGTCAATAACTGGGTCTTTTACCTTAGATATTTTTTGGACGATTTCCAAGGTTTAGTTCAAAGATGAGCAAAATCGGTCGATTAGTTTTTACAAATTACAGCAATAATGAATTTTAAAAAATTAAGAAAAATTTTCATTTTTACTGTCTCTCCCTGCAATAACTATCAAATGCGATAACTTACTAAATTGATGTAAATTTTATTTGAAAGCTTATTAAATAAGCTTCAATTTACATAGCTATTTATTTTCCTAGATCAATAAGTTTCAAAATGACAGCAATTTAAAAGTTCAAAAATTTGTCAGTTTTATTGATTTTTTTAACGCAATTATTATTTTATTCAATAGCTTATCAAATTCCTATAAAATTTTTTTAGAGGTTTATAATAATGAAATTATTATGAAAAAAATTTAATAAAAAAATTCCACATATAAAAATTGAAAAAAAAATTATTAATGGAAATTTTTTAAAGCATTTTTTTTGTAATTGATTTGTTATAAAAATTAAAAAAATTGATCATTTATATTTTCTCTCAATTGTTATGCGTTAGTGTTTATATTATCAATAATCAGTATTGGGATTTTATTTAAACAGATAATCTACTTCTATTTCGTCTGGTAAATAACACTTTTATTATTTTATATTCAATTAAATTAATAAAAATAAATAATTTAAGATTTTAGATGAAGACGGTATGCATAGAAGATTTAAATTGAGTAATTTCCAAAGCAAGACTAAAATAAGACCCTTTAGTACAACAATGCCGATGGGATTAGGATGTGGGTGGAATCAAATTCAACTAAACATGGTAGAATTGGTGAAAATAGCGTATGGAACTGTTTACAGAGAAACAACTAGATTACAAATCCATGCGAATTGCAGAATCCGTCGTATATACTTTTCTGATAGGTAATTTTTTCTATTAAGTAAAATTTGAAGTATTTAAAAATTTTTGATATTATTTTAGATTGTACGGAGAAGAAGATTTATCAGAGGAATACAAAATTTCTTTTACAAAGCCAAAGACAAATAAAGAAGATAAAAAAGACCGAAGAAGTATCACTTCAAAGACTTCAGGAAATCGATCATTAAATTCACAAACTTCTCAGGAAAAAGCTCCAGGAGACAGGGGCTCGTTTAATGGCTCGCAGAAGGGTGAAGAAAATCCGAAGCTAGAAGTTAGGATTCCTATTACCGAGTACGACGAAGATAGGAGCGAGCAAACTAATCGAGATTCGGTAATTGATGGAGAGTTTACGGCAACGGAATTGAGTGAAACTGAAGCGGGAGAGTATTCGGATGAAGAGGAGGGTGAAACGGATAATGGAGAAATTGAAGAAACTGATGAAGAAGAGGAAGGAGTGGATGGAAATGAGGAAATTGATGGAGATGCCAATGAAAGAGAGGAATTAGGTCAGGAGGAAAAAGTCGGGGAAGAAATAGGTCAAGAGGAAGAAAATAAGGGTGAAAGTGGAGATATGGGTGACGTTGATAAAAAAGAAGAGACTGATGTAGAGGATGATGGAGAAAATGTGGAAAAAATTATGGATAATTTAGATAAGAACGAATCGATTAAGGGAGTTGATTTAAAAGAGGAAGAAGTTAACATGAATGAAAAATTAAATGATGAGGCAAAAAATGAGTTGAGTAAAGAAGAAATTAAAAGTGAATTTCAAGAATTAAATGATAATGGGAAAATTATGGATAATTTAAATAAAAACGAATCAACGAAGGAAATTGATTTTAAAGGTGAAGAATCTAATATAAATAAAGAATTAAATAATGATAAAAAAAATGAGTTGACTAAAGAAGAAATTAAAAGTGAGTTTGAAGAAGAATTGAATGATTATGGAAAAATTGTGGATAATTTAGATAAGAACGAATCGATTAAGGGAGTTGATTTAAAAAAGGAAGAAGTTAACATGAATGAAAAATTAAATGATGAGGGAAAAAATGAGTTGAGTAAAGAAGAAATTAAAAGTGAATTTCAAGAATTAAATGATAATGGGAAAATTATGGATAATTTAAATAAAAACGAATCGACGAAGGAAATTGATTTTAAAGGTGAAGAATCTAATATAAATAAAGAATTAAATAATGATAAAAAAAATGAGTTGATTAAAGAAGAAATTAAAAGTGAGTTTGAAGAAGAATTAAATGATAATGGAAAAATTGTGGATAATTTAGATAAAAACGAATCGATTGAGGGAATTGATTTAAAGGGTGAAGAAGAATTAAATGATGATAATGAAAACAATGAGTCGATTAAAAAAGAAATTAAAAGTGAATTGAAAGGAGAATTAAATAATAATTATGAATATCAACAAACTTATTAGTAAAAATAAAAATTTATATCATAAATTTTAATTTTTATTGCTTAGCATTACAAATATATATATATTGGCATTGTTTAATGGAACAAAGACATGAACTTGAGAAAATATTATTAAACATTTTAAGAGATGTACATTTTTACATTTAAATTACGTAATTATATAGCAAAAAAATATTATTAATTATACTTCTACTTTTTAAATATTACATAACTGTAACTTGTAATTAACAGTATAAGTAATTAACAGTTTTATCAGATTGATAAAAAATTCTATTTTTATCAAATTTACGTCTCTACCGTATTTACTCATATTTATCGTTATTTACTCATATAAATTTTATTTATCATACGTTTACTTTTATAGAATGATTTATATCCCAAACGGTACTGTTACTCTACAACATACATTTGCAAGAAAAAAAAATTTCAATAAGCAAAATATTTTTTAGTAAATTTTTATTAATTAACAAAATAATTACGCATTATAAACCATTAATAATTACCAGTATATTTTACCTTAAAAATAATTTTATGGAATTTCGTGTTCGTCGTCTTCTCGTTTTCTTTTTAAGCTATCATCCATAGAAGTAGAAGACATTGGTTGGTTGGTCACTATTGGGATTTTAGGTTTAACTGTTGTAGTTTGACCACTTGGTAAATTGGAACCAGCTGCAGAAATATACATAATAAACAAAATTTAAAATCAAATAATACAACATCAATATTTATGTCATTAAAGTTAGCCGACGTTTTTAATTTTTTTTTCATTTATTAAATTAGAACTAAAAAATATTTTTAAAGAATTGCACTTATAGCTTTTTAAGTTTTTTACAAATGAAAATTTTTTTTTATTTTTTTCAATAAAAAAAAAAAATTTCTCAAAGTTTTTAAACGTCGGCTAACTTAATTTTCATTAATATTTATGAAATTCAAATTGGTAGACACTTGATAATTTTTTTTTAATAATAAACTAGGTCTAGAAAATTATTTATAAAAAATTGTACTTGTAATTTTTTTAATTTTTTAAAGATGAAATTTTTCAAATAAATTTTTTTGGCTACAATTTATTGGTTTAAAAATTTTTAAAAATAATCAAATGTCTCTCAATTTCAGTATCATTCAATATTTACCAGTTGAAATTTTAAAAACAGGCTTAGGAACAGATATAGTCTGCGTCCTAGCAATAGTTGTAAGAGTTCCAGGCCTCTTGACAACCGAGAGACCAGTTTTATTGGCATCAACTCTAACTCTGGACTGCCCACTGACCAAATTATTGCCGACTATCGCGTGAATCGGCTTACCAATAGGTTTCTTTATGGTAGGCTTCAACTTATAATTAGCTGCTATCAAACAGTAACGATCTGGCGGCAACCTGAGTCCATTATTAGGCTTGACAAATGGCAACGCAATATTATTCTTAGCTCTAGCAACCTCCAGCAAAACGTCTCTCGGCGGTGGATTGGTGAACGTTTTCTCCAGCTGCATCTTGACAGCCAATCTAACGTCATCCAGGTCAATAAATTTCTTTTTCGCATGGCTAGCGTAGATCCTACTGTCATCCAGGGTACATGTGATATAGCCTAAATAAAAACAACTTTAGATCACAATTTATAAAAAAAAAAATTAATTAAACAAGTTAATACTTACGGTAAGTAAATTCAAGTAGTTGATTAATAACTTTTTGTTCATATTGTTCAATCCCCATGTCCTTAATTATTGACATTATAACCTGTGCATCCTTAGGCACATGCTTCACATGACTAGTAGTCTTTGTTTTTTCCGCCATTTTATTTTTTTTTTATTATTTATAATTATTTTAATTGTTTATTGAACAACAAACAGCAATTATAATTAATTTTTTTGACACTTGCACTTACTTAAATTGTTTTATTTACCTCATTATTTTTATTTACGCGTCCATATTTTTTTATCTTTATTTTTAAGCCTCCAGAGGTCGGTAAGAATAATTTCCACAATTTGTAGATGGCGCTCCGTGCTAATCTCGTCAATCGTCAACAACTGTCAATTTTTTGGATTTTCATGATAATAACTAAATTAATTAGTGAAAATTTTTAATAAAAAATTTGACTTCTAGAAATTTAAAAGAATTACAGGTGCAAATTTTTATAAATTATTGATTTTTTAATCACTGCTTTGTAATAAAAATAAAAATTCAAATGTCTGCTAATTTCAGCATAATTTATTTTATGATACTGAAGTTAGCTGACAACTGTCAATCTTTTTTAATTCTTATAACAAATAAATTACAATAATAAAAATGCTTTTCAAAAATAATTCTTTAAAAAAATTTTTAAATGTGGAATTTTTTTTTTATAAAAAAAATTTAATTGGTTTAATATTCTAAAAAAATTTCTAATGTCTGTTAACTTCATATCAGTGTCATTTTTTTTTTTTAGTTTTAAGCGCGGAGCGATAGAAAGAGAACGATAGACATTAGCCGTTTGTTGTAAAAATAAAATGTGAAAAATGTAGACATTTTTGTAGTCTGGATCTCCGTTGACAAATTGTCAATGACACAATAGAGAGTTAATGACATAGTCACTGAAAACCAACCTTAAGTTTAAGCTAAACTCAAATGTTTATATAAACCTATAAACCTCTACTGCGTCGCAAGACGTGGTTGGGTATTGGAAGTCAAAACAAACACCCAGGTTATCGTTTTACAATGATGATAAAAAAAAGCCAGTAAAATTCATTTGTATACGAAAATAACAACTCTGAAGAACTGGACTTCCCGCATAATGTCCCTGAGTCATAAGATAATATATAATATATATTATATATTATCTTACCGAGTCACTCTGATATAGCGATGCTCAATTGTTCTGTCTTAATACATTATTAGTACTTGCAAAACAATTCTGAGCTTGGGGTATTTTAAATATAATTAAAAATACAGTTATGTACAAATTTACTTACGTTTTGTTATTTTATTTTGATTGCCAAAAATAAAAAATAATATTCATTTAAAAGAGTAAGTATTAAAATTTTTCTTCAATAATTTAGTTTATAAGTAATAATTATTTTAAAAATTATTTCTATTGAAACTTTACAACTGTTCAGAATTTTAATAAAATCTCAAATTCATTTATTTAAAAAAAAAATATACGTGATATTTTGTAAGGGCCAGTTTTTCCTAGATTAAAAATAAAATTAATAAAATAAAATTCCTAGATTAAAAAACTGGCCCTAAAACTTAATAAATAAATTTTCTGAAATTTTTTAGGTTAATTTGTATTTTTATCTTTTACTTTTGTTAAAAAAAAAATTATTTTTCCTAGTAATTACCTCAACTTAAACTATTTTTTAAATTTATTAATTTAATTTATTTTACAGTGAATCCCGAAATTCAAAGCGGAAAACAATCAGACGGACAAATGACGTCTGAATCCCAAAAATATCCTACACATATAACCGGTAAGTCCCAGATAGATGACAATAAATTATTATATTGTTATATATGTAATGTTGAACAAACTTGGAAGGAGCACAAGATCAGCTACCAACATGCGTCACAGCTCCACTATTTTTTAAATAATTTTGAAGAGTCATCAGCGGAATATGTCAAATGCAAGCTATGTAACAATCAGATTTCAAAAAGTTCATTTAAAAAACACGCTGCTAAAACACATAAATTGATTCCATGGTACAGACCACCTACTGAACCAATTTTGTACTTCATAAATTTTATCAAGCCAACAAAAGAAGCTTATAAATGCCTCTTATGCGATAAAAAACTCAATAATTGGTACATGGCATTGAGACACATTGAGCTTTCAAATCATCGAATTCGTTTGAAGAGCATTATTAAAGAAAATGTCGATGAAGCACGTTTGAAAATTAGATTTTGTAGAGAGGCAATTGACCATTACATTTTTTCCAACGGAGCTTCGCGAGCTCGATGTTTAGCATGTAATATTATTTTTGAGGAATACAATGCTGTTTATGAACATTTTGCTGATGAAACTCACAAGGAGAATTTCAAGGCTAATAACATCTATCCCGTTTTATCTTTGGATAATTCCATGAGTTTGCTTCTTGAGGATTTGAAAATAAGTGATCCAAAAAATTCTACAAGCGATGACTCTGCTGGAACTTCTAATTCAGAGTCTCTAGCATCTACTAGCTCAGGTTTCGGATCTACTTTTAGAGACCCAAAACTCAATGATAATAATTTTGATAACGAGGACAATGTAAGTAATAAATCTCCAGAGAAAATTGAAGTCGTCTCTCCTTCTAATGAGCTGAAAATTTATTCCGAAAAACTTGTAATAAAAGAAAAGGCAGACTTAGCACTCTCTAATTCAAAATCTATAATCAATTGGACGAAATTAGAAAATTTGATCCTTCGTTTTTTTGAAAACTACATTTATATCGGTGACGACTATTATTATTATTGTAATTTATGCAGACAAAGTTTCTCATCTTTATCGTCTATGTCGGAACATCTTGACGAATCGGATCACAAACATCAATTATTAGAAGAACAAAAAGAAACATGTACCAATGAATATAATGCACCTTACTTGCCAATTTTTATTGAATCACTCATCTCAAATAATATTTTTCCTTATAACTTAACAAAATTGAAATGTTTCACCTGTCTGACTATACTACCATCTTATAGAAGTGCCGAAGAACACATCAACAGTCAATTACACAGAAACAATCATATTTTTCTAAAAGCACCTAAAAATAATCAACAATTGTTACCGGAATCAAAAACTGATGTGGCTATTTACTGTAAAAATTTTATCAAAAAAGGCCGTACAGACTATTACTGCCACTTGTGTAAGTCTGCTTTTACATCATCAATTGCAGTGATGACGCATATCGATACATTGGAACATTGTAAGCTTTTATCGGAAGAAACATCAAAAGCATTTTGGGAGACTCAGTATTCGTTATATTTCTATGAATTGTGTGTAAGAAATAGTATTTTTAGACTATCTCACAAAAAGCTAAAATGTTTTGCATGCAAAGGTATTGAAATACGGAAGAACGTGTTTGAAAATCATATTAAAACTCCAGAACATCAAACTGGTATTGTATCAAATAATCCAAGCAATGATAATCAAATTCCACACAATGACAATCAAATTTCGCTCAATGATGATCAAATTTCACACAATGACAATCAAATTCCACCCAATAACAATCAAATTCCACACAATGATAATCAAATTCCACAAATTGCAATCAAGAATTCTAAATCTTCAACAGAAAAACTAATTATTAAAAAAGATCAATTGATACCCGAATGTGATTTGGAAAATCGATTTTTAAAATGCTTTGAAAATTATATTTTTGTTAGTAATAGTAATTATTTTTGTAATTTGTGTGAAAAGGAATTTTCTTCTTTGTCTTCAATGTTCGTACATATACTCGATTCAACTCATATAAATCTTTTAGAAGAAAGAAGAAAGAAGCACAAGATAAGTGAGCATAAATTTTTGCACATCCCGAAATTGTATGAAGTCCTTGTTCGGCACAATGTTTTTCAATTTAATCCACTGACACTAATATGCATATCATGCGGGTGCAGACTAAGTGGTTACATTAGTGCTGAAAAACACATGAATACTAAGCAACATAAAATTACTCATAAATCTCGACTTGATGAAATAAAATCACCTACCTTAATCGCAAGTGAAGATGAATGTATAGATGCTGCAACTGTATTACGAAAAACAAAGAAAAAATTCGCTAAATATTTTAAAAATTCTATTGAAATGCGCTCAGAAGATTACTATTGCCATCTTTGTTGTATTAATGTATCATCTTCTGAAGTAATAGAGCACATTCAAAAACCAGAGCATGTTAAGTTCGTCAAGAATAAGTTCAAAGATAAATATAAAGTTCGAAAAAATATTTTTTACACCGAATTGTGTGTAAGAAATGGTATTTTTTGTCACACTGTTCCTGTATTGAATTGTTTTACTTGCAATAATTTGGTTGGAAAAAAGGAAAACATAGAAAAGCATGTACAGAGTGAGGCGCACAAGATAAATCGAGAATCCAGGCAACAAAACACAATTAAACCTCAATCCAAAACTAATTCAACTGAATTAGTTTCGGTTGAACCTATCACGGACGTTAAAATAAATAAAGCTCTTCCACTTCAAGCATCAAATTGTCTTTCCAACGAAACAAAAATTGAAATTAATCAGAATATTGTGCCAAGAGTTAGAGAAAAAATTGATGATACTATTCAATTAATACCAGTATGTGATTTAGAAAATAATTATTTAATTTTTTATGAAAATTTTATATTTATATGCGGCAATACTTATCGCTGTAATTTGTGTAAAAAAAATTTTCTGTCATCTTCGATTTTATCACATATAAACGATTCACATCATCAAAATCTTTTAGAAGAAAAAAGACAAGAAAGTGGTATTAGTAAGCACAAAGTTGTATACTTACCAAATTTTTATGAATTACTTATCCGAAATAATATCTTTCAGTCCGATTCACTTGCAATTAAATGTTTGTCATGTGAGTGTTCTATTACAGATTACCCGACTGCTGAAGATCACATTGATAGTGAGTGGCATAAAAATAATATTAAATTTATGGCTGCTATAATGGGCGCGTTAATTCCCATTGAAAGTAAAGACAAAAATTCTTCAGGACCGCAAATCCTACCGGATACGAAAGAAGATTTTGCAAAGTATTTTGGAAATTTTATTGAAAAACGTCAAGAAGATTACTATTGTCATTTGTGTTATATTACTCTGTCAACTTGGCTTGAAGCATCAGCGCACATGGAGGTTCCAAAGCACCGTAACATCGCAAAGGATCAGTATGTCGACCCAAAGATCCAAAGTAATTTATATTACAGTGAATTATGTGTAAGAAATAGTATTTTTTGTTACAGTTCCACCGAATTCCAATGCTTTAGTTGCAAAAAAAATTTTTTTTCAATGAATGACGTAGAACTACATGTTGGAATTAAAAGACACAAAAAAAAATTTAAAGTTAACTCAATTAAAAAGACATCAACAGAAACTGTTCCAGTGAGTACACAAAATTCTTTGAACAACAACAAGAATATTGCGATTTATCAGAGCACTGGATCTACTGAAGGAAAAAAATTTAATAATCAGTCAATATCTAATTTAAAATTGGAAGATCAATTTTTAACGTGCTTCAAACATTTTATTTGCATTTTTGATAAATTTTATTACTGTTGTCTATGTGAAAATGCTTTTCTGTCATCAGTTCTAATGTTGTTGCATATAAATGATCCAATCCATATATATCTGTTGAGAAAAAAAAAACAAGGGTATGCCGAGCACACAGTTTTGTATACGCCAAATTTTTATGAACTGCTTGTTCGGAATAATGTTTTTCTACTTAATCCACTGACAGTAGAATGCTTATCATGCGAATGCCGTATCAATGGATACATTAGTGTTGAAGATCACATAAATGGTTACACACACAAAAATACTCATAAATCTATATTTGAAGAAATAAATTCACCTACCTTAGTCTCAAGTGAAGATAAAAATGCAGACACGATAATTGGATTACCAGAAACGAAAGAAGATTTTGACCAATACTTTGTAAATTTTATTGAAAAGCGCTCCGAAGATTATTACTGTCATCTGTGTTGTACTAAATTGTTATCTTCTGAAGTAATGGTGCATATTAAAATTCCAATGCATCTTAATCTTCTCAAGAATAATTACAAAAATAAAAAAGCTAAAAATAATTTTTTTTACACCGAATTGTGCGTAAGAAATGGTATTTTTAGTTTTGATGATCCTGGCTTGAAATGTTTTATATGCGATAAATTGGTTGGAGAAAAAAAAATGATTGAAGAGCATGTAGAGAGTGAAGAACATAAGACTAAGCATGAGTCAATAGCTATTTCTTCTTCCGTAACTAAAACTTTTTCTAGCGAGTTGCCGACAACTCAAAATCAGTTTCTTGAATTATTTAAGAATTCAATCTTTCTTCACGAAGAAAATTGTTTTTGCAATTTGTGTGAAATATATTTCCCAATGTCTGATGCTATGACACACATAGAAAGTAGGTGTCACAAGGAGAAAGTAGGGTACGATAAAAAAAAATTTCTTAAGGTCTGTATTAAGGTACTAAATAATTTTGAAGAACTTGTACGAAACAACGTTTTTCCGATAAATAGCTCCACGTTAAATTGTTACTCATGCAATCTTAAATTTGCTAGATATCAAACCATCATATATCATCTTAAAACCTATGAACATAAAAGTGGTCTCAATAAATTAAAAACTATTTTAATAGCAGAAGAAAAATCAGCATCTAAAGAATCTCCAAAAGAGCAAAGTAAACATAAAAGTGTTACTAATGAATTGAAAACTACTTCAGTAGCAGAAGAAAAGTTGAAAGCTAAAAAATCTTCAAAAAAGCAGCAAAAAAGTAAATATAATTCTTCAAACATCTTATCATGTAATATTTACAAGTACAATGATACAAGAAATGAATTTTTCTACTGCTGTGTTTGCAATCTTAAAATCAGGTCTCGTAATATCTTACACGTCCATTTATCCGGCCATTTTTGGCAGCTATTTACTGATGAAGATATGGATAACTTGATGGCTTCAGCGAAGTTGCAGTCTGAAAAAGTTCTAGTTGTTAAGAACGAAAGTGTTGGGCAACCTGTTTTGAACTTTTTGGATGGTAGAAGACTTGCAGAAATTAAAGAACAAGCGAAGATGACTGGTGATAAGAAACCCGATAAGGATGTCTCATTGAAAAAGAAGAAAAAACGAGATAAAAAAAAGGATGATAATAAAGAGAAAAAAGATAAAAAAGGTCCAGGAAGGCGTTTTAGAAATATCAAGATAGAGGATCTAGATGTTGATGAAAATAACAGCTCCAATGAACTCGATATTTATGAAATGAATGAAGAAATACGCAATGTGATCCAGGTGAGTTTAAGTAGAATTTGTATTATCAACAAAGATGAAATTTACTGTATGATATGTCGCAAAAATGTGGAATATTCTTCGCGAATTGTCTATGAACATTTTCGAAGCATTGAACACTCGTACTTTCTGACACAAATGGTCCAGGATCACATGAAATTTGAAAGTTATCCAAGGGAGCTGAGTGATTTTGAATTGGCCCGTGAGATGATGGAGGATAAAAGCGATCGACATGTTAGTTGCTTTGTTTGTAATCCTGCTAAGCCTGCGACTATTCCTAACAATGTCGAATCCTTGAAGTTTCATATAAACTCGGAAAGGCATCAGAATAAAAAAGAAAAATTGAGCGAGAATTTGCAGGAATTTATAAGTAATTTTTACTCAAGGCTAGAACGCAATTGGTTCAATATTCAGAAATACTGGTGTGTGATTTGCAACGGTAAATTTAATCTTGAATACAAATTTTGTCGTCATTTCAAATCAGAGTCTCATAATAAAAAGTTGCAGAACTTTATTAGATTTGAAAATCTTATTTTCGATTTTTGTCCTACATGTGGTATACTTTATTATGGATTCAAGAATACTTTTACTTATCATTCAGAATGTCAGTTTCATAAATTTTATCGTGATAAAAATTCATATTTCATATCACAACTTCCGAAACTTACTGAAGAACTGGTGGCTAACGCGGAAGAAAAATTGAAAAATCAATTAATTAAGTTGGAAAGTAATGAAGCTACAAGAAAAAATGAAGAACAGTTGTTGTTAAAAGATTTGAAAAAGACAATTAATAATTATGGAGATGCTAAAATGTATCCATTTGGTTCTCGAATCACTGGACTTGCATCCATGAGCAGTGATCTTGATATCTTCATTGATTGTTGTAAGTAATTTATTTAATTTTCATTTTTTTATATTACTAAAATCAACAGATATCTGAAAAATTTTTCATTTTTATAACAAATTAATTATAGTAAAAAATTAACACTTATAATTTTTTTTAATTTTTAGACCTGGAAATTTTTATAATATCCAAGTAAGCAGTCTCTTGACCATTTATCAATTTTATTTCTTTAATTTTATTTATTTAACAAACAAATTTGTTCCAAAAAATTGCATTTTTAACTTTTTAAAATTTTTATATGTAAATTTTTTTTTCTCATTTTTTTGACATAATTTATTTGTTCAAAAAATTAAACAAATTATTAAATATTTGCTAAATTAGTTTTCATAATTTTTTCAAAATAATTTAATTTTTATAGAAATAAAAAAATTGACAGATGTCTGTTACTTTCAGTATCATATATTTTTTTTTTTTCAATTACAAATTAATAAATTTTTTTTTGTATTATAGATGACTCTTATTACGAAGGAACTGAATTTGATGATGTATTGAATGTATTGACAAAAGTTGAAAGTTTATTGAAGAAGAAAAAAGAAATCTGGACAATCAAAAAAACAATTACTACATCCAGAATTCCAATTATTAAACTGACTCATAATATTACTAGTATCGATTGCGATTTATCATTTACCAATGGTCTAACAACTGAAAACACCAAATTAGTCAAGTAAGTAAAGATTTTTATTTTATAATTCTTTTATATTATTTCAATGTCAATAAAATTTTTTTTTTACTTCAGATTATACGTTGATAAGTATCCGATGTGCAAGAAACTCATTTTGTTCATGAGATACTGGATAGATGCTTGCAATCTTAATGGTCAAGATGAAATTCGCAGCTACGCCATTTCCTGGATGGTAATTTATTATTTACAAACAAAGTTTATTTTACCAAGCGTTGCAGAGTTGATGAAAACTCAAGGAGAGTCACGTGTGGTTGGTGGTTGGGAAACCAAATTGACCAAAGATTTTAAGCTACCTGATATTATTGACTATAGTTTTAGGGATCTGTTGTACGGATTTTTTATTATGTGCGCTGGATTCGATTACAGAAATAATATTATCTGTCCGCTTCTGGGTAGACCGGTAAAAAAAATCGATTTTCTTGTGCCTAAAAAAATGACAAATTTACCTGAAGAAATGAGGCCTTATATAAATTTCATGAAGAAAAATCGTAAACAGATCGACGGTTTTCGATCCGATTCGGTAATGGGCGTTCAAGATCCTTTTGATCTCAGCCACAATTTAACAAAAGCCATCAAAAAATTTGTCGTGTATCGATTCCGAACTTACTGCGCTATAAGTGCTGATAAGTTAATTAATTGATAAATAATCAATACCGGAACTTTCTTTTTTTTATTTAAGATTATTTTTTAAAAAAACTTAAAATATTGTTCCTGACAAGGATCTTAATAGTCATAGTTAAATATTACACAGTATTTTAATGTTACCAATAAACTGTTGCTATTTTTGTATTTTCACAATAGTATTTTATATTTAAATGTTTTAATAATTAAAATGATGGATTTTGTATTCTTCTTTTATGCATAAGTTGAGTTGTTGTAAGTGGTTGTCTAGTGTTAAATATGGATAATACAATTCAACAAAATGATAAGGTATGAAGGTTACAGATGAATCCATTATAATTGTTTTTAACTGAAGATAAATAATTTTAATATTTGTCTATGTACTGATTAAAAATAAATTTTTTACTGGTTATAAACAAGCTATTGCTATTTTTTTTATTTTATCTATATCTCTTCAATTTATCTCTTCATTGAAGAATATTATCTCAAATATTTGTTCAAGAAAATAAAAAAATTCTTTTAATTTTTTTCATTAATTAAATTAGAACTAAAAAAAAATATTTTTAAATAATTGCACTAAAAATTTTTCAAATTTCTTGATGTAGAATATTTTTATTAACATTTTTTTACAATAATTTATTTTACAAAAAAAATATTTTTAAAAAATTGCATTTTTTATCTAATTTTTCTTTGTCATAATTAAATGTTAGAAAAAATTAATAAATATCTGCTAAATTTATTTTTATTATTTAATTACATGTGCTAAAAATTATTAAAAAAAAAAAAAAAAAAAAAAAAGTTTATTCAATTAAAAAATTAAAAATGTCAAGTCAAGTGTCTTGAAAATTGAAAATTGATGGTCACAGTCCATTGACCTTTGTACTTAAACTCGATTTCCGAGTGTCTATTTAATATCAATATACATAAGTAAAACATATATATTACGTGTACCTCGGCGTAAGTACAAAAAGACACATGCACATAGCTATATACCGAAATACATTTACACATTGAACATTGGTTTACGTTTACGTGAACGTGACTATGCGCGGTCGCAATGTTCTGCAGTAAAAATGCAGCTCAATCGTCGTTCCAACTTCAGTAATCATTAATTCAATATTTATTTATTTATAATTATTTAATTAATCACAATCCTCGGTACGTTTCATCCTTTCCAGATAAAAAGTCACCATGGTAAGTCGGCCTGTACTTTTTTAAATTATCAATACACTGGTGTTTCCATAACCTACATAGACATTTTAGTCACTCTCAGTGACAAGTATAATTTAATTTTTTACTATTATTTACTATTTATAAAATCAATTGACAACATTAATATAAAATGGTATTAAATAATGACATTAAATTTAGCAGTCATTTGATGATTTAAAAATTTTTTTAAGAAACAAATTTGTTTCAAAAAATTATTTTTTTAAATTTTAATTTTTTTAAATTATTAAATTTCTGCTAAATTAATTTATGGTGTTAAAGTCAACTGTCACTGGTTAATTTTTTTATTTTTTTTAATAAATAAATTTGCTCCAAAAAATTGTATTTATAATTTTTTTAAATTATGAAAATTAAAGTAGCAGATATTTAATAAATTTAAAATTTTTTTTGTGAAATAAATTAGTGCAAAAAAAAATTGACATGTAGAATTTTTTAAAATTAATTTTTTGGAAGAAATTATTTTGTTAATTGTCATTTTAAAATTTCTACATGTCAATTATTTTTTTCATTTTTTTTTTTACCAAAAAGTGTCTGTTAAAACAATTATTAAATGTCTGCTAAATTAATTTTCATAAATAAATAAGATAAAATATGATGTTGAAATTAGGAGCTGACAAGTGTCAATTTTTTTAATTTTTACAAAAAAATCAATTACAATAAAAAAAAAAATACTTTTAAAAATTTCCACTAATAAATTTTTTTTTCACAATAATTTAATTGCTATAAAATTATAAAAATAAAAAATAAAATATTTATAAATTTATTTTTTTAGCAAAAAGACGGAGTAAGATATCGCCCTCAAAGGAGTGGTAGACCAGTAGAAGAGGGCTACAATAATTTACCCAGTTCGATTAAAAAGAAGACATCACCACCAAATGGGACCCAGCATCTTTTATTTGCCCTGACATTTTTTTTTTCAATATCGCTGACTGTTATAGTAATGGACAAGCATTTACCGGAGGGAAAGTTGATGAAAAACGAGCACAAATACCCGGGAAAATTTATCGCTGAGAGAGCGAGGAATCATGTAGTTAATTTAACGTCCCTTGGACCCAGAGTAGCTGGTAGTTATGCTAATGAAGTAAGAGCTGTTAATTATTTAACAGCTGTGATAAATGACACCATAAAACAAGCTAATGATAATCATAGGATAGTTGTTGATGTCACTAAACATTCGGGTGCGTTTCCGCTTACTTTTCTCGATGGAATGACAAGTGTTTACAAGAATGTCCAGAATGTTATTGTTAAACTGGGCCCAAGGAGAGATCCAGAGCACAGTTTGTTGTTGAACTGTCACTTTGACTCGTTTCCCGAAAGCCCTGGTGGATCTGATGACGGCGCGGGTTGTGCTGTCATGTTGGAGATCTTGAGAGTTTTGGCGAATAGTTCTAGATATCTTAGGCATAATATTATTTTTTTGTTTAATGGAGCTGAGGAGAATTTATTACAGGTAGCTTATTTTATTTATTTATTTTTTTTTTTTTGATTAAATTCAATTAATTTATTTATTTAGGCTTCTCATGGATTTATAACACAACATCCTTGGGCTAAAGAAATAAAAGCGTTTATAAATATTGAAGCTTGTGGTGCGGGTGGCCGTGAATTATTATTCCAAGCTGGTCCAGAAAATCCATGGATTGTTGAAGTATTTATTTTAAAATTATTATACTGAAATCAACAAACATCTTATAATTTTTAGAATTAATCGTAGTAATTTTTTATTAAGTAAATTATTTACAAGTAGGGTCAATCCCATTTTGGGACATGAAAAATTTTTTTTCTGGTAAATTTTTTTTTTTTATCAAATTAACGATTTTTTTTTTTTTTTTTTTTTCCAAAAAAATTACAATTAAAAAAGATAAAAATAGAAATTTTATCCAAAATAAAAAAAGATAAAATAGAAATTTTATCCAAAAACATGAAAGTCAATACTTCTTCCAAATTTTAAAGGCAAAGAATTATCGAAATTTTTATTTTTTTTATCATAAAAACAAGCAGAAAAAAAATTTTTTTTAATGTTAATTTTTCACCTAGTTATGGCCCAAAATGTGGTTGACCCGACTTGTAAATAATTACCTTAATCTTATTAAAAAAATTATTACAAAAAAAAAAATAAAAATTTTACACATAGAAGATTTTAAAAACTACAAGTGCAATTTTTTAAAAATATTTTTTTAGTTCTAATTAATAAACTTAAATTTTTAAGACTCTGCTGATTTAAGTATTATATTTTTTAAATTTCCAATACATTATTTAATAATTAAAAAATACTTCTAGGTATATTCAAAAGAAGTTCCGTACCCATATGCTTCATCTTTAGCTCAAGAAATATTTCAAAGTGGAATTGTGCCAGGTGATACTGATTACCGAATATTTCGAGACTTTGGCAAAGTATCTGGTAATTTAATTATATCATGCTTACTAAAACTTAAAATGGCCTATATTAATTACTAGAGATTAATTGAGAATTAAAAATAAATTACAGGTGTTGACTTTGCTTGGACGACCAATGGCTACGTCTACCATACAAAGTTCGATACCGTGGAGCAAATACCTCTCGGAGCGCTCCAACGCACTGGCGACAATATACTCGCGTTGACTCAGGGAATAGCTACGGGGAATTACCTAGGTAACCCATTGATGCAAGACCACGACGGCAGTCTTATGTTTTTTGACTTCCTCGGAGCTTTTGTCATCAGGTGGCCACATTTCATCTCGACTATAATAAATATTACGAGCATTTTCATCGGAGCTTATTCTATATATTTAAACATGAAGGTTGCTCGTCAAGGTAATTGACTAATGATCCATCAATAAATTTTTTTAAATCAATCGATAAACATTTTAATTTTTTAGAGTTAAAAACTTCGACATATTTAAAGCAAATATTAATTTGCGTCTCAATAATCTGTGCCTCATGGATAATTTCAATGATGTCAGTTACATTCATTGCACTTATTCTTACTAAACTTGAGAAAGTTATGAGCTGGTACGCTAGACCAGCGTGGTTATTTTTCCTCTATGTTTGTCCGACACTTGCAGTTTCGATGCTCTGTTTTTTGTATGCAGCAAATCGACAAAAACAAGTAAATTTTTGTTCATTATTATTATATTTTTTTGAGAATTTTAATAATAACTAGCAACCTTGCAGTCACTATGTGACTGTCGTGATTGTTGAACTATAAATAAATAAAATTTTGTTTTATTAAATAATGATTTTTGTTAAATTGCATTGTACTTTCTTAACTATTGACATTTTTAAAGATATAAGCTCATCTTGATGTTACACTCATCAAGAGCTTTCATTTGAGTACCCACATGCATTTTGATATATTTTTCATATATACATATATATATATAATATATATAAATATATGAAAAATTGATGTGGGTACTCAAATGAAAGGTCTCAATGAATGTAACGTCAAGATGAGCTTATATCTTCAAAAATATCATTATTTGACAAAATATAATGTAATTTTTTAATTATTGACATTTTTTAAGATATAAGATCATCTTGATGATACACTCATCAAGACCTTTCATTTGAGTACCCACATGCATTTTGATATATTTTTCATATATACATATATATAATATATATAAATGAATATATGAAATATATGAAAAATTGATGTGGGTACTCAAATGAAAGGTCTTGATAAGTGTAATGCCGGGATGAGCTTATAACTTTAAAAATGTCAATAGTTCACAAAATGCAAGGTAATTTCTTAATTATGTCTCTAGAGGGAATATTTTTGAATACAGCCTAAATATTTATCATATAAATTGAATATCGGTGAAAATTACATATGACTATCTTGGAAACAAAATTTTTTTTATTCTCTTAATAATATAGATAATAGTTATTATTATAATTTTTATACTAACATTCAAAAAAATAATTAATTATTAAATTAATTTGCAGGTGGTTAACACTCCTTGGACATTGTATCAATTATACAATGATGCTTATAGTGTGATCTGGATGTCAGCATTGTTAGCTTGCATTTTATTAGAAATACGTTCAGGTTTCATACCATTGCACTGGGTGATATTCCCAGCGTTTGGTAATATTATACGACATAGTCTCTTTGAAAAATGGAGAGGTAATACCAATCATAATTTATTTATCAACTTAAACCAACCATAAAAAAAAATAATAAAAATAATCTATTCATTTTTAGAATGGAAATGGCTGTGTTATCAAGTAGGAATATTAAGTTTACCATACATGCAGTCATTTTATTTAGCAATCGGCGCATTGTATTTATTTATACCGATAATGGGCCGAGTAGGTGCTGGAACTAATTCAGAAGTCATTATGGCGAATATGTTGTCAATTTTATTTTGTTTACTTCTAAGTTTTACGGTAGACACTTTAAATTAAATTCAATTTAAATTTTATATTTTATGGATGATTAATATTAATATGTTTTTCAGATGCCAATGGTAATATTAATTAAAAATGCTGGACGTATAATAAGTGTGATGACAGGTTTATTTTACTTGTCAGTCGCAGTACTTATACTAACACCTCTAGGGTTTCCTTACAGTGGCGATGTTTCGTCACCTGCACCTCAACGATTTATGATTGCGGTAAACACTTTAAATCTTATTTGTCTAAGCAAATTAATAACTTTATCAATACCCTGGAGTCACTATGTGACTGCTGAGATTTACGGATTATAAATAAGAAAAATTTTATTATTTTATTATTTTTCTTAGTCTTTTAATTATCTAAATTAATTTTTGACATATAACCACATTTACTAGTAGAAAACAAAATAAATAAATAAATAAACAAATTTTGTTTATCGGGAAATTCGAATCTATGTATAACTACTTCGAAAACTTACCATAATAAATTAACTATTTTAGAAAAGCATATAAAACAAAAAAGGCACAAATTCAGATCAAGATCTTTGCAATGATACTAAATTTAATTTAAAAAATTCATTTCATCATAAAAATACGCTGGAGGCAAAGTTTTTTTTATCCTGTTAATTATATAAATTATTTATTTATTAATAAACCACTTATTAAATAATTACAGCATACTCAAAGACAGTATTACGATGTAGATGGTATGTTAAAGTACTCAGGAACTGGATTTTGGTTAGTAGACTTAGATATGAATAGTCCTCATAGCGTTCAGTCAATGGTACCTGAAATAGGTGCTGTATTACCTACAAATTTAGACTGTGAAGAACAATTATTTTGTGGTTTGCCCTATCTTGTACCAGTTAGAAGATTTTTATGGTAAATTTATAAAAATTCATTTTAAATATTAATATGAAAATTAAGTTAGCAGATATCTGGCAATTTTTAGAATTTTTTCTATTAAAAAATTTATTACAAAAAATTGAAAAAAAAAAAAAAATTAGAAACTTTTAAAATCATTAGCCACAATTTTCTAAAAACATTTTTTTACTTCTAATTCAATTAATAAAAAAAAATCTGCTAACTTTAGTATCATAAATTAATTTTGTATTTTGGATTTTAAATTTAAAAATAAAATTTTTTTTAGGAAAACAAGTTGGATACCCGGACCAGCTCCTAATATAAAAATCCCAACGCAGCTGGAATTATTATCAAAAATAGCAAAAAAGCAAACTATAACATTAACATTTAATATTACTGGTCCTGATCACATAGGAATTATTCTGTCGCCTTACAAAGGAGTGCATTTAAAACAGTGGAATGTTGTCGGAGGTGATCCACTGGCATGTCCATCGTGGAACGATCGTGAAGTTTACTTCATTTACTACGCCTGCTCATCCGACTGTGTTCCCTATAATTTTTCCGTAGTTCTTAAAGTTCCAGAAAATAATGAAGAACCGATTTTAACGATCGCCTTAGCCGGGCACTTTTTGCACGGAGAAAATCAAAAGTCACCAAAGTTTGAAAAGTTCCTCAAACAATTCCCTTCGTGGACAGTTATCACACCCTGGACTGCCTCTTACACTTCGTGGGAATTTTAATCGTGATTTATCTATTCAAGTAATTATAGGAAAAAAAAAAAAAAAAAAAAAAAAAAAAAAAGAGATTAGTGATAGAATTTTCGATACAATATTTAAATTGTATTAAGTGATATTTAAGATTAATAAGTAACAAGAATTAAAGAGAAAAAAAAATCAGATACAAAAAAGCACACTTACAATTAGATGGCCTAGATTGATTAGCATTTGAAAATTAATGTAAAGTGAGATTTTGTCAGTAACATTTACTATAAATATTTACACCATTTTTTACTAGACCATGTTTACTAAATGGTATCTTTAAAAAAACTATTATTAAAAATTAAACTTTTTCAATAGGTAATATAATAATAATAATAAAACTTTTCTTATTAAAAAAATTATAAACTCTGTAACGAGTTAATTAGCCTGCAAAATGTGCCGTATTAATATTTATATAAATTTATTATATTAGTACATAAATCGAATTGACCAAAAGGTTTAAAAAAATAATTTTTTTTTTTAGTATTTTTAAATTCGTGATAGACACCAAACGATAATAATTATTATAAATAATAATATAACACAAGTGCTGCAATAGTTTTATAGCATTATTATTATAATATTATTAAAATATTAAAATTAAAAGCTGTAGCTTCTGAACAAAATTTTTACTGATTAGTATGTACTCCTAAAATAATTAAATCACCTACATGAATTAATCTCGTGTAATGTTAAATAAATTTCTTAAATGTATGTATACAAAAAAATACTAATTGAAAAAATTAAATAGGATTGGTAGCGGTTGACTGATCTATTTAATGCGCTCTCAGTACTCGATTTTTAAAATATTTTATTTATTTAAACATTTTATATTTATTAAATATTTTTATTTGTAGTAAAATTTAATTTTAAAATATTTCTTATTTTTATTACAAATGATACATATCTTAGTTTATTAAATTAATTTTTTTATTGATTAATATTTAGTTTTTTATTACCGATTACTAAATTACACATGCTTGCAACGAATTATCGCTTAAAAAAAAAAAGATTATATATGTTAAAATAAAATATAAATTATATGTATGTAAATGAAGATTTTTTAATTATAGCTTCATCGGAGTGCATTAGTAATTTTGCTACAATTAACGTTTGACTTGCACTCTATAATTGTTAATTAAAAAATTATTGTTAATATTATAAATTATATATTACAATTATAGATAATAATTCACAATAAAATTAAAATCAAATTATTTAAAAAATTAAGCGGCCATATTTTTTTGTAATAACAGGTGAATTTATGTATAGTAACTAAATCATTGCACAATATTTTAATTGTTTTACAATTGTTTGACGTTAAATATTTTACAGGCAAAGTAGGTCATTTAGTCCTACACGAATGATTAATTTTGTCGGATAACGGAAGCTTAATGTATCGGTTAATTTCCGGTTACATTTTCACAAAGAATTCTATTAAAATCATTTAATTTTATCGGCAATTCAATCCGAAAAAATCTTTATTGTATTTCAATTGTAATTAAAAAAAAAAAAAATATTGAATTAAAATTTCAAGTATTGACTCAAAAAATATAAAAAATTAAAATTTTATTAAATTAAAAAAGAAGAAATAGAAGGTAAAAAAAAATTCAAGTTTTGGAAAAAAATCATTTAATTTTATCCGCAATTCAATCATAAAAAATCTTTATTGTTTTCAATTGTAATTAAAAAAAAAAATACTTTATTAAAATTCCAAGTATTGACTCAAAAAATATAAAAAATTAAAATTTTAATAAATTAAAAAAGAAGAAATAGAATAAGAAGGTAAAAAAAATTTCAAGTTTTGTGTCTCATAACTCATAAGAAATGCGTCAATATTGACGCACCGGTGTCCGGTAAGGTGAGACCGATTTCCTGGTCGTCGCCGTCGCGATTCGTCATATGTGTATATATACATATATATGTATACTTAGCATATATCTTTCTCACTATTGGTTTCTGAATGGAACAAAAACCGACGAGAGTCGATCGCTGACGTTGCTCAAGTACACCACGTTCATTTTTTAACGCTCATATTATTACAATTATATGTTAAATAAATTAACATTTTTTTTTTTGTGTAAACTCCCGAATTTTATATCAGTGAATTAATATTTTATTTTTAATTCATACAAACACTTGTTATCAGTATCAGTATGTTTTTATTACAACAGAAGGTATGTATTAAATAATTACAATTACAATATAATTTTTCAGTCTAAAATACTCTGTTAAATATTCCACAGGTGTAACTCTAGTTACCACGTGAGTTTAAACTCGGGTTAATTGTTCCCGGTTTAATTATTTAACTTAACAAATAGGTGCGAGAGTTGCATTCATTACTTCAAGATATACTTCTAAATAGAATAGCCTAGAGATTTTTAAATTATCAGCTTGTTAATTATTTAATTTAACCAAGGGGTGCTAATTACCAAGTGATCAATTCTTCTTTATATTTTTTAACACATAAAAATTTTTAATTAATAATTATTGGCTGAAATTAATAGCCAACATTTTTAATTTTTTTTTTTAATAATTAAATTAGAACAAAAAAATATTTTTAAAAAATTGCACTAATAGCTTTTGAAGTTTTTAACAAATGAAAAAATTTTTTTGTAATAATTCTTTAATAAAAAAAAATTTTCATCTAAAATTATTAAAAAAAAATTTTTTTGTTAGCCGACGTTTTTAATTTTTTTTTAATAATTAAATTATAACTAAAAAATATTTTTAAAAAATTGCACTAATAGCTTTTGAAGTTTTTAACAAATGAAAAAATTTTTTTGTAATAATTCTTTAATAAAAAAAAATTTTCATCTAAAATTATTAAAAAAAAATTTTTTTTCCAAACAAAAATGTTTTTATTTTTAAACACTTGATATATTTTAGCAATATTCAATATATATTAACTTTAAATACAAGAATGTACTTGTTTGTCTATCAATTAGCGCGTTTGCAAGTCGGATAATAAAAGAACTGTCTCATTTGCACGGCCTAAATATTTTTTCTCAGATTTTCTCTTAGCTTCTTTTAAAATTAACACTTATAATAAAAAAATACTTTTTAAAAAAATAATTATTAATTTAAATAAAGCAAAACATAACTTATATTATCGGAGCGTGCTCTATCTGAGTGACTAAGTCGTATAATTTTTAAGAAGACATAAAGAAGATGATAAATCACCGGTGTTTTTTTTTATTGATCACGTATCAGAGATAAAAATCAAAAACATAGCTTCTTTACTTGTAGAAAAAAAAATAGTGCACTTGAAAAATAAAAATCCACTTTGAAATTTTAAAATTATTATATGCTTAGCTTAGCTTCTTATATTAACTTCAGCTTGGTAAGTATGAGTGCGGGCTTTAGTTGTCGCTTCGTGACACTCATGTATCCTATTTAACTGAATACATGAATATGTACGAAATGTAAGTATGTATATATATAATGTGTCCATGAATATATTTTGTCTTCGTCCATTACTCCCTACACGCGGTAACTTTTCTTTATCAGTACAGCTTTTCTTTCTTACTATTCTTCAGTATGTTTATTTATTTTAACTTGTAACTCAACGACAATTAGTAACGGAGTTACTTTTATCCTGCAACAATGAGAAATAACACAATAGAGTACAAGTATTTTATTTTAGAAAAATTTTTAAACTATGCGTAATCTTAACTTGGAGTGAAATATTTGTTGAGTCTGCATTTAAAGACATCGGGCCGGATGAAGTTTATATCTATGTGTTATGTTTTATATGTTACTTGTTATACGTATATTTTATATACATTTATAAACGTACCTTTTTGTAGTCATAAAACTTTTTATGGACTTATGCGTATGCCCTACGTGTTGAGCGTACTAATTAATTATTGGAACCCTCTCGCTCTACCTGACACCGGTAAATTTTCTAAACAATGTAGCGCCTGTAACAGAAGATAGTTTATGTTCATTTACTTTTACTTTAAGGGATTATTTGTACTTATAAGGTAAAAAAATACCGATTTTTATGGAGTCTTTTTTTTAAAAATTTCATTGATAAAAATTGTCTGGTGATTAATTGAAGAAAAATTAAAATATCTATTTTTAATAAAATTGTGGCTTGAAAAAAATTAGATTTTACATTAAATTGTTTATAAAAATATAAAATATCTATTGTAATTATTAATCCTTGGATTAATTATTGAATAATACAGTTGAGAAAATTATGAAAATTAACTTAGCCGACTTATAAAAATTTTTAGATTTTTTTTTTTTTATTGAAAAAACTATTACAAAAAAATAAAAAAAAATTTCATTTGTAAAAAAAACTTGAAAAACTGTAAGTGCAATTTTTTAAAAATTATTTTTTTGTTCTAAATTTTTCAATAAAAAAAAATCAAAAAATTTAAAACGTCGGCCAACTTTAGTATCATGACTGATCTTATCAGTTGTTTTTTCAAGAAATCTTGAATGAAGTTTGAAAAGACAGTTTTGAGAAAAACGCGTTTTCGGTCCCAGCCCCATTTATGTGCTAATGCTCCGAGGAAGGCTTTACAAACTGAAAAAAAAAAAAAAATAATTTGAATCAAGTAAAATTTACTTAAAAAAAGAAAAATTTCTTTTAATTTTTAATTTAAGAATTTTTCTACTCAAATCTAAACGGTAAAGTTCTTCAAAATTATTTTTTTGATTCAAGTTAATTTTTTTTTTTTCTGTGTATATAACTTTAAAAATAGTTGACCGATTTACATTTAATTTTCTGTGTAAATAATTAAATATATGTACATTACAAAAATTAAAATTTTCAGTCTACATTAAAAAATGATACTGAAATTAGCAGACATCTGACAATTATTCGCATTTTTATAACAAATCAATTATTATAAAAAGAATATTTTAAAAAATTCACACTTATAATTTTTTTAAATTTCTACAAGTGAAATTTTCTCGCTAAACTTTTTTCTTTATAATTAAAAAGTTATAACAATCTAAAAAATTGTTAGATGTCTGTTAAATTCAGTATCATATTAAAAACAGTAATTTTTGTCAAGCCTTATTGAGATATTATTTAATAAATTTTATAATTTTTCAACTTTTTAAAAAAATAATTTTTTTCAATAAGAAAAATCTAAAAAAAAATCGACTAGTCTTTAATTGTCAAATTATTCATTAAAATTAAATAAAAAAATTTTTCTTCAGCAAAATTCATCAAAGTAAAACCCCTCTAATTACACAAAATAAAAAACCAAAAAAAAAAAAAATCAACGATCGATCAATTCAGTAAATTCCTGTGGAAAGTGTGAGCTGAATAACAAACTATCCGTCTGCAAAAATAGTTGTTTGTTAAAAAAAACTAAGGTTTCTTAAGAACTGAGAGATTCCAGAGAAGAATCTTCAGTATTGATGACAATAGCTTCTAAGGAAAGGCCAATATATAATATAACGGCCCTCAATAGTTGAGTATGCAATAGCAAGCGTGATGTCATTGATAGCTTCAAAGTACATAAAAAATCAACTGGGTATTTGTACCAAATACAAACATATCGTGATTGGCATGATAAACTCGATGACCTGGGTGATGCCACAAGGCATCTTTAATTCTTCGCCATATCCGGTGGCAACAAACAGCTACCGCATTACAGCGGACAGCGGATCCGGTTATTCCATCTAAAGTATGTACACCAACTGCAAATAAGATTTTATTCGCCACCGGAAGTCACGAACGAAAGTCCTCTTGGTTCCTAATTCACGCGCGTGCTCGCTGGCTGCCATACTGCGTTATCTTGATCAGTCTTCTCTTCTAAGAAATTATTAATTTTTTATTAAATAATAAACGATAAATAAAAAGTTTGATAAATATTTATACAAAACTATTTTTCTAAGGGACGTCGTGGAATTTTTATTAGCATGGCAACGGTATCATGAAGAAAAAGAAGAAGAAGAAGCTAATGAAGATGAAGAAGGAAGAAATGAGGGAGGGGTTTAGTTAAAAAACGAGGAAGGTTAAACCTAAGACAGGACAGAGTCACTTAACAACGCTAAACTTAAGGAGTAAGAATAATCGTATACACACCTTACACTGAAGCAGAAAAAAAGACAGAATACATTTAGACATTCTTCCCTCTCTTGGTATCACGGTAGCAAACGGGTAGTCGTATAGTAGCCTGGTATTACTTCTCGACATTAGTCTTCACGACACCCGCATCGTCAGTTCTTCGGATCAACTCTTCAGCGACTGTGCGTGATTTTAATTATTCATTTGGTCATTTTAGTCAAACTTGGAGATAACTCTGTAAGTTTTAGGGTTTAAGTATTTATTAACTTATTTGTAATTGTTAAATTGAAATTACCTTTTTTAGTTTTTAGATCTCGGAGGAGTTTTATTTAAATTATTATGCGCTAAATTTTAATAATTTAGTGATTCCACCTGACTCGAAAACAGCAAGGCCATCAATTTATCATGATATGACTGGTAGTCGGCTAAAGCAAAATACAAGTGTCAAGTTCCAGTATCATACCACGGAATAACGAATTAGATTAAGTACGAGCTACTGAGTTATAACGTGTATTGTGTTTCATACCACGGGTGGTCAAAATAATAACGTATCTAGTTTTTTTTTTTTTAAACTGAAAGTAGCAGAGAAAATAATTATTGTTGTGCTTATTCAAAAATTTTATTTTTACAATTGTTTTTACCATGTTTTTAATAATTTGCTTCCTTGTGTATTTGCCTGGGAAGAAAATTGTAATTGATTTTAAATCAACTTCCTCATGAAGAAATGAAAGACCCTATAGGACATTCTTGGAACTTCTTGCTATTTTCAAGCTAGAAAATTACTTGATTTTTTGTGTCAACTTTTAACTAACTTCTAACATTTGCAGTTCTATAAACTATGCTGAAAATTTTTTTAATTTTTATAACAAATTAATTATGACAAAAAAAATATTTTAAAATTAGCATTTATAATTTTTATTTTAATTTCTACATGTGGAAATTTTTTTTATAATAATTTAATTGTTATAAAAGTCTAAAAAATTGCAAGATGACTTGAAACAAATTTCTTCTTTTTGCTCTTATGTTGAACTATTTTTAATTTGTATTAAAAACGTGGTACATTCAAAAGATTTTTAATTTATATTATGATTTTGAGAAGAAATAATTAATTCATCAATTTTATGCTACTTTGTGTTAGATTATTTTTTTTTATTTTAATGTATTTAGTGTTGTTCTGCAAAAATTGAAAGAAGAAAACTCTGAACGTCTAGGAGGCAAGATGTCGGCATAGCTGATGTTTTAAATAATTCGGCTATGTCACATCGAGCCAACTGTACGTTTAGATAACACAATGTTTATGATTTCTACATAGATATAATACAATAGTGTAGGTGTTGAGTTAAAAAGAATGAAATAAAGAGAAGAACTAGAAGAAGGCTGGCTAATTTCAAAACAAAATAGCTGCAACATTTTTGGACCTAATTTTCATCAGTGTTAGATTTTTTAATATTTTATAGCTAATTAAAAAAATCAACTAATTTTATTTTAAAATAAATTACATGAAGTAAAACTACTCCAAAAGCAAGCAAAAAAATTTTTTAAACAAATTAAATCTTTGCAAGATTTAATAAATCATACTTTTGTTATTTTATAACTAATAATAATGAATTTAGATAATGTGTTATATTTATGCTTGTAAAATAAAATTTGTATTTTTTTTATTTAATTTTACTTTTGTATTTTTTTTTATATAAGTTTTATTCTTCACTTTTAAGTATTAGGTACTTATTTAATAATATTTGAAGTTATAGCTGACAACTGTTAATTTTTTTAATTATCATCACAAATCAATTACAATGAAAAGAATACTTTAAAAATTTTCCACTTATCATTTTTAATTTTTTTAAATTTCTTCATGTCAATTTTTTTTTTTTATTTTTTTGCTATAATTTATTTATCAAAAAGATTCTAAAAATTATTAAATATTTGCTAAATTAATTTTCATTTATTTATAAGGTATCTTCAATAAATTATAATCTTCATCAATAATCTCAGAACATATTTTTCAATAATTTTTTTTATTGAGGTAGAAACATTGAAAATAAAAATATTTATTGCATTTCTTAAGCTTTATCCTCCTCTGTAACAAATAAAAATATTAATAAAAAAATTTCATACATTTTAAGTCGATAAAAAGTTAATTTTTAAAAAATTTACCGAAATTTTCTGTACTAATGTGATTATGTAAACACTATAACTCTCAAAGGGCACAATTAATTCACCTGATTCTTTTTCTATTCGATTTGTCTTATCAATCCCCAGAACTTTTTTGAAAATCATAGATTAATAATTGTTCATTTAATTGTAAATAGAGAAATTTCTATAATTTTCTTCTAATCTTTACTTATCAAGCAGTCATATTTAATATATTTTTGAAAACAGAGTCTTCATAGAGTTGATCTGCGCATGCGCTTGAGTCACCTATAATTAAACTGTTCTCCGTTTGGGGGCGTAAAAATCGCAAGATTATTTGCGGGAAAATTTAAACAAACATAAACAAAAGTGAATTGTAAAGAAAGTTAATTTTTTTTCAATGAAATTATTAATAAAAAAAATTTTTTTTTATATTTTTACAATATATAGGAAAACTTTTTAATTTTAATTGAAGTTTAATTTAAAATAAGTAAAAAATCCAAATTTTTAATGAAAGTTTTGTTGATGAGTGTTAATTTAAATAATCCAGTTTTGACAGGAGCGCTCAAGGGATGTACATTAAAATTTCTAAATATTTTATAATTTTAAATTTCATATAAAAATTTTTATTTAAAAATATTTATCATCTTCATCAGAGCCTGAGAAAGAGAAAAAATGTAAGTTCACTAAAACTGTATGACATGGCGGTGACTGGCGATGACGACGACAGCAACGACGTTGTGGCGGTCGCCGTCGAAATTTATAGAGGGGGAATAAAAGTGAAAGAGAGAATTGAAAAAAGAGATAGAAGATGAGAATTCTGAGGTGTGGGAGTGAGAGAAGAAACTAAAAAAGTGAGTAAGAAAAAAAGACAGATAACAACAGGACAATAATGGAGTTGAATAACCATCTGAACACCGAACACTATTGATGCCCAAGTGCCTTTCTACTACACTAGTTCTCTCGTTATTTAAACGTGTAGTGCTTTAGTTAATTTTTTATTAAATAATAGATAAATTTTATTATTTTAAAAATGTCTTCAAGTGGATGGGAACTTGTTACTAAAAATAAAAAGGATAAAAATTCTGGAAAAAACAATAAACTTACTAAAGTTGAAAAGAAAAAATTTATTGAAAATGCACCGAAAGTTGAAGATTTTCGTAAGTACATACATGTTTATTATTCGGTTTTATTTACACATATGTTTCACTTTTTATGAATTAAATTTTGTGATATTTATAATTTTTTATTCATATTTATTAATTTCAAGTGTTACTTTATATCTTGAATAATAATTTTGAATTAAATTTAATTTTTTTTTATTGAGTATTTTAGAGTTTAAGTGACGGTTAGTTTTTTTTTTTTTAATCTTTAATTAATTAATTAATTTTACGGTTAATTATTTTTAATCTACTTCGCTAAGGTTTTAATATTAATTTAAATAATAAAAATTTTTTTTTTTCTCGATAGTTCCACTGAGTCAAGTTCAAACGCTGTTTGACAACTTTAATGGCAACAAGGAGAACAAAATGCCAAAAGATAAGGATAACAAGACCAAAGAGAATGAAGAGAAGAAAAAACAACAGAAATTAAATGCACAGGTTGATAATAAAAAAAAATTACAACAACCAAAACCTAAAGAGAAAAGTAAACCTGTTGAAAAAAGTGCTGTAAGTATTTCTTAATGTTTTTTTTATTTTTTTAGCTTATTTTTTCAGAGTATTAATAAATCCTTTGTATATTTTATAAACATAATTCAGCATTGAAATTTGATATTTATTTTTCAAGTCTGTTTTTTTTTTTTTTTTATCGCAAAATAAACTCTAAGTAAAATAAAATTATTTTTTACAGATTACTGTGGACCAAATAAATGAATTAATAGAAACAAATCGTGTTAAATTTCCTGATGCTCCATTAATTTGGCTGAAAGATTTAGTGGCATACTTAAATGCCAATATTTCGGAAAAAGAAGAAATAACACCTGCAACAAAACCCGATACTTACCCTTTAAGTTTGATAACAAAGGCAGTACGTACGTCGTTTGAAAAAGTTATAAAATCGGTAGGCATACAGACGGCTCAACTTTTTTACGAGAACACGTTACTGCTGATGGCGAAAAATATGGCGTTTGGGTCATCGAGTATTGGTTGTAAAATATTCATCCAATTATTGGCGTACATCCACCCAGAGATCACATGTGGTAACATTGAAAAATTGATAAGTCTTCGCAATTCATATCAAAATAAAAAGTCTATCGGCTTGGCGATACTGTGGGCCCTTGCTCAGGGTGGAAAAAAAAATTTAACTGTCGGATTGACTCTTTGGCACGAAGTTATGGCTTCGATGCTCGAATCGAGGAACTATGCGTATCATGTTACTAAAATATTGAGAGAAATGTTTACTATTCATAGCAAAAATATAAACAATAGTTTGACTATTGATATGTATTTAAATATTGTTGATGACTTTTGTTCGGGTAAAATTAATATTCATACGTCTCTCAATAAAGAAGTTAGCAGTTGTTTGCAATTTTTAAGGGTAAGTTATTATTTAATTTAAATAATTACAGTTACACTGAGAGAAAAAATTTATTTTGAAAAAAATGAACAATTTTGTAATAAGAAATTAATTTGTTGAAAAGTCTTGACAATTTTATTTCTTAGCTGAAAAAATCAAAATTTTTCTCCCAAAATTTAAAAGTTTTCTAAAATTATTTTTTTTTTTCCAAATAAAAAAAAATTTTATTCATAAAAGTTAGGTAATTATTCAAAAGTGAGGTCAACCCGTGCTAGCCCATGTTAATTTTTTTTTTATTTTTATTTATATTTAAAAAAAAAAAATATATCAAAAACATCAAAAAAAGATAAAATATAAATTTTATCCAAAAACATTTAAGAGCCAAAATTTCTTCCAACTTTTAAAAACAAAAAAGCTATCAAAATTTTTATTTTTTCTTTCACGGCATTTTTTATCACAAATGCGCAGTAAAAACAAGCAGAATAAAAAAAAATTTGAAAATGTCAATTTTTTACCTAGTTGTAAATAATTACCAAAAGTTATTGTGACAAATATTTCGATTTCTTTATTTAAGAAAAAGAATTCTTGAAAATTTTCAATAAATCAATTTCTTGTGATAATAATATGCCCCATATTTTTCAAAACAAATTTTTTCTCATTGTATAGATGATGAATATCATTACACTAACTTGTCATTAATTTTTTTTTTAGGAAACAGTAATTCAAACCGATAAAATAGATGTCAAATCATTATTTGAAAATACAATAGATAAAATAAATACTAAAACAAATCCTCTTTACATGGAAGAATTATTGAGGATACTTGCCCTTTGTGTAGCCAAGGACAGTCGTAGTTTGTCATCATGGAACAAAATGCATTCAAAACGTCTTTATCAATCCGAACTGCTAATCAAGCAACTCAGTAATAATTTTTTTATTATTATTATAATTAATATTAATGATAATAAGACGTCTCATTAATCATCTCATTACACATTATGAATCTTATTGTTGTTGTTATTCGAATAATGATAGTTAAACTTGAGCAAGACTAAAAATATTTAAGAAGAAAGTAGTGATGGTGATTGACGAGGTCATCTTATCTTATCTAAAAAAAAGATTAACTAAATTTAATGTATTTTTTTTTATAATTAGCGGACGATTGGGCTTCAATTCGTTCGGAAGTAGATGCTAAATTGCTTAAACAAATTCTTAGTGTCTTCCAAGTGACCGAAGTGAAGCCGAAGAAGAATAAAGAGGACTTGTTGATGCTGGCTTGTCAAAAGAAATCTCAGGTAAATATAAATAATTATTTGTGTCGAGGATTGTGTTATTGGTTTAGTTGGAATGTTTTTATTCAAGCGTGTAATTTTATCTTTATGGGTGAATTAATGATACTGAAAGTAGAGATTTGATTATTTTTATTTTTTTTGGAGCAAGTTAATAATAAAATAATAAAATATTATCATTATTTTGATATTTTTAGTAGAACAATTGATAAATAAATTTATGACACTAAAAAATTAATTAAAGTTGACAGATATTAGAAATTTTTTTAGAATTTTATGGAAATTAAGTTATTATGAAAAAAATTAATAAAAAAATTTTGATGGAAATTTTAAAAGTATTTTTATTATTGCAATTTATTTATTATAAGAATGTAAAAAATTGACAGCTGTCAGCTAATTTCAGTATCATAACTTGAAATAATTTTTATAGGAAAAATTATTTGAAAATTAATTTAGCAGACATTTGATAATTTTAGAAATTTTTTTTAACAAATAAATCATGGCAAAAAAAATTGACATGTAGAAATTTTAAATCAAAAATGCAATTTTTTAAAAATAATTTTTTTGGAACACATTTGTTTGTTAAAAAAAATTAAAAAATTGTAAAGTGACAGCAAAATTTTAATTTTATATCATAAAAATTATTAAAAAAAAAAACTATAAGTGTACTTTTAGGTAAACAAAAATTTCTTTCTTTAATTTCATTTGCATGTGTTCCAATAATAATTAAACACCTAGTCTCCTATTTCGTTGATTGGTCTTCAATTATCCAGATGATCTGCGCAGAATCGTGTTCAATTCAAAAAAACTCTCCAAAAAAATAGTAAAAAATCAATTGAGCAAAAAAAAAAAACCAAATATCTCTTAATTTATTTGTACTTTTTTTATAAACTTAAAAATAGAAAACGGCATACCGGTTTTAAATTATTTTTTTTTACCGTGAAACAAAAACTTTATCACATCAGCTGTTGGCATTCGTCCTTAGTAAATTATTCGGTTTAACAAACCTACCGGCAGGTACTACGTACTATACTTTTATCCAGTCGTCGTACTTGTCTCCATATAATATCCAGATTAGAACATAGTATAGTCCAGTAGTCAACATCAATTAAACTGATTCAACACATTACTGCGTAGTATTACTCGTTAAAAGTAAAGTATATAAATTAACACTTATATCAATAATAAATAATAAATTAAATTAAATAAATCCAACAAATATAATTTAACATTTAATACTTAAGCGCATAATTTCACATCAAATTTTCGACTCCAAAAAATTTGTATAGTAAAAAAAAATAAACGCTTGTCAAACATTGCACGAACCGAATTGAGGTATGTAAATATTACAGATCAAAGGTTAAAATAATAATAATAATTATAATTTACAATTGTGTATTAAAAAAAAATTTAGTGAAGGATAGAAATATTTCCGGTAATTTTATGTTTGTACTCGCTATTTTTTTTTTTTTTTTTTTTTTTTTTTTTTTTGGTGTCGAAAACACTGACGTTAAAGGTTATATTAGATAGCTTAAAATCAAGGATAATTATTTATTTTAATAACAAAAAAAATCATAAAAATTTTAGTAAAATAAGTGAAGTACAAACTGGAAATAAAACAGGTATTTCATTTCTGTGAATGTGAACTAGCAAGGGAGGGACACAATTATCGATCGATACATTTAGTTTTGAGCTTGGCCCCCTGCTCTTTCCTCTTTGCTTGCTGCTGTCGGCTGTGCCAGTGACGACCGACTCATTGCACTTCATTGTCATTTTTTTTCTATTAGTTTATTTATTGCATTGACCACATACTCGGTTTTCTGTTAGCCTACAATATTTATAGTCATCGGATTACTTACTAAGTCTATAATAATATTTATTATAATAATAACATTAATAATAATAATAAATAGTAATAAATAATAAAAAGTATTTTTATAAGAAGCTTGAGTGAATAATAAGTGTTAAGAAAGGTATACTGTGAAAAGGCATTTTCTATCACTTTCTTTAGAAATTATATTTCAAAAAAAAAAAACAAATAGTTTTTGTGTGAAATAATTTATTAATTTTTAAATATTTTATTTTAAGGATCTGATTAAAAAAATGTCAGCATCAACAAAAAAAGGCAGATCCTTCCCGTGGACTAAGGGTTCATTTATTCTTTTAATACTCATTGGAGCGCTTGTGGCATTTGATTGCAGCAAGCATGGTTCGTTTGAAGGTAATTATCAATTTATTTAATTTTAAAGTTATGAATAAAAATTTATTGTTTTTTTTTTTTTATAATGTTTTATTTAAATTATTGATAAAGTGTAAAGATGTATATATTAAGATAGTTAAAATTGTAACCATGCTACTCTTTCTGAATGTACTAAATTTTTTATTTACTTAAGCTATACTTCAAATTTTAATTATATACTTCTAATTTTAATTTTATTACTTATGTGAAACAAAATTCTATGTATTTACTTCTTGCTATTTCGGCTGCCCAATTTTAAACCACAGTAACTAAAAAATTTTTATACCTGATTTTTTTCTAGTATTGCTGCATTTTTTATACCTGAATTTCAAGTATTTTTTTCTTAAAAATATTTATATTCAAATATTTTCTACTCACAAATCAATTTGGTGAGCAAACTTTTTTTTATTAAGAAAAAATGAAAAAAATTTTTAAATGTCAATGTCAATAGCATATTCTCTTCAAATATGCGATTGATATTAACATTTTTGGAGGACCAGCAGATAAAATAAAAAGTAAAGCAAAAAGGGTGATTCCAAAATAATAATGATGATTATAAACTATCAGACATGTTATATTTTTCTTATCTTTGAAATTTTTCCTTTCAAAGCTAATTTTTTAATTACTTAAATTTTTTAAATTTATCTTTCTCTTGGCAGATGCTATGTATTGTATAAAATCATTAATTCTAAATATTCTATACATAAAAATTTAACATATTTCTGTATATTGCCGAGGGCGTTTCTATACAAATAAATAAATGTTCGTTACTGTGTTTTGAAATTGGGCAGCCAATTTGGCTTTATGCTTTGGCATTTAAATAAAATGAATAAGTAAATAAAAATAAAAAAATTATAATTATAATATTTTATATTTAATAGCCTCAACAACTGGAAGACTTATGAGAACAAGCGGAGTTGTTGGTTATGGACAGAAAGCGTGGTCGTCGACGAAGAGTTATTCGAATAAGGGCTTAGCGTATTTGGAAACCAGCTATCCGGATTACTACAAGACAGCTTCTACTTGGGGAAGACAATACGCAAAACTAACTGGTGACTTTTATCTTGTCGGTAGAAATTTTGTTTTTAAATTATATAACAATACTGCGGAGTTTGTTGAACAAAAGAAGCCTATTGTGGTTGACAGCGTAAGTTACTTAAATATATTTATATTCATCAATTATCAATAATATTATTGACTTGGTTAATATAATTTGTATGTAAATTTATTTTTCAGGTTGAACATTACTTTCCGGGCTGGCTGGATACCGTTCAGAAGTTTGGGTCAAAACAATTGGAGTTGACGAAAAAATATTCAGCTGACGCTTCTGATTTTATTGTTACCCAATCGACAACTTTTATCAGGTGGCTGGAGACTAGCGTTTTTGTGTAAGCAATTTATATTTAAATAAATTTTATGCTGACATTTGTTTTAAAAACTCTAATGATATATTTTTGATGGTATACTTAATCAATTTTGTGTTAAATATTTACGCGCTTTTATAAATATCACGGATATTGATTTTTATTATACTATGCCTTTAAATAAATGTCCAAGAACTTTTGTTATAACTTTGAAAGTTTACGACACAATTTCATTATTTAAAGCTACGTCATCATTTTCTTTTATTATTATTGAGAAATTTTATTTTTATTTTATAAATAAAAATTCAGTTTAATTAATTAAATTTTTTTTTAGGTAGATTTCATTGAAATCTATCTATATATGTAGTATAACGCGGCTTGTGTACACAATAGCACTTACAATTCTCAACGGATTTTGATGAAACTTGGTACATATATTCTTTGGATAATAACCTTGAATAAGTTCGAAGATGAGCGTAAATCCGTAAATAAGTTTAGAAATGGTAGCTTTTCAAAATTATAAAAATAATGAAAATCATGTTTTTGGAGACTTTATTGATGTATTACTTTTGATTAAAAAGAGATGGCTAATTTTTGATAAATTTATGTAAAAGCTCATAAAATTACTTTTCATTTGACGTATATAACATTGATATTTTAAGAATTTTTAGTTATTTTATCAAGAATTAAAATAAATTCCATTTCTTATAATAGATTGATGTTTAATTTATTTATTTTTGTCATGTTTCAGAGGTAAAATGAGCCCAGAAAATATCCGTGGATACGCGATACAAGCTGTTGAATCAACTCAAGCATTTGCTAGCCAGGCGTACGACGTGGTGTACGAAAAGGTCCAAACACTATTAAAAGTCCAATAAAAAGCTAATAAAAAATTAAACGGTGATTTTTAAGGACCACTGTAATAATTCGACGGAGTCTAAGATTATCGTCGACTGACAAAATAACATAAGCAAAAAAAAAAAACATAATTAAATTTTCCCGTAATATTCCAGCATTTATTTAAAGATAATAAATAATTTAGAAGAATACCGGTACACGGAGGCTGCATACAGTTTCGAGAGATCGCGACCGCCATTCTACCTGTGATATTTCGAAAAAAAAAAAAAAAAAAAAAAAAACTATTAACAATTGTATAAACTATCTCGCGTATTATTTAATGATTTTTTCTTTTGCTATTCCCTTATACTACGAAATTATTAATATTGAATATACAACAAATAAAAACGGGTCTGAATTTATTTCAACGATAAAATTTACTTTTTTTTTTTTAATTTTACTATTATTCAGTCGGTATTTTTTTATATTTGTTAATTGTAAAGGGTGAAAGAGTGATTGGAAAGCATAATAGCGAGAGAAGAGTGAATATGAGGTAAAAACTTCAGCAGCCCTGCCAACCATAGTATTTTGTATATTTATAGATGTGTATTTTTTTTTTTTTTTCGTGTCAATTTGTTTGAGTGCGATAAATTAAATGACAATTTTTTCATAGCAATACACTGTAGAATAATTAAATAATAAATAATAATAAAGAGTGATGTGGATAAAAATTTTGCGAAAAAAAAAATCATGTTTAAATTAAACTATATAAAATGTACAAACAATTAAAAGTAGATAAAGTAAATTAAAAAAATGTTATCGCAGTAAATAAGAAATTATAATTATTGATAAATACATTTGTCATTACAATATAAATATATGTTATAAATATAAATATATATGTATATTATAATGGCGATGATTACATATGATGATCATGATTCTTAACAAGAATATATTAATTAATTTTTACTTTAAATATGAAGAGATCTTGACTCGACTTTTTTTTTTTTTTAAACTTCTATTAATCTTTCTACATCATTAATTTCTTTCCTTATTATTATTATTATTTTTTTTTAATTCTTCATTACACAATAGCGTTTTTTTAATTTTTTATTTTTACTACAAAAATTGCGTAGGTGTTTTGCTTGGCAAAAATACACTCGTAAAAAGTAACGATTAAAAATAATAAAACAATTAAAATAATAATAAAACACAAGGCAAGATGTAAATTTTACAATCTCTGAGCATTATCAAGTGTCAATTCCTCTGCGTTAGTAGTTTACGCTTATGGTAATGCATATAATTGCATATTATTATTTATATATCTACGTATATATAAATATAAAAAAATCACAAATAAAATATATATATATATATATATATATATATATATATCATTACAATTCATAGGGGAAGAATACTTTCATTGAGTTTTTGTATATTTGGTTACAAAGATATTCTTCCTCTTCATCTCTAACACGCGCAAGTACTTCCAATATTTGTCTGTAAAAATAAAAATAATCATCATTTAATTTTTATCTACTCACATATTTTTAATTAATCTATATTATTTGTACATATAAATACTTTGATTTAAAAATTTGTTGATTATCAGTAAGAATAAAAGTATTTAATTGTAAAATAATATTTAAATAATTATTTATACTCACACTATTGTACAAGGCTCATTACGACCTTTAACCATTTTGTCTTCTTGCCATTTTTCTTTTTTAACTGATGGAAAATGGGTTATTACATCTTTAGCAGATGCATGTGTAGGCCGTATTTCACACCACGGGCAGTCTGTTTCAATCATAAGTCTATCCGAAGGAATGGTTGTTACTGTAAAAAGATTGTCTTCTGTTTTGAGCGAACTGTAAAAGAAGAAATAAAAAAATTTTAAATAAAAATTTTTTTAATTTATTGTAAAATTTAATTAAATTTTTTTTAAACTTTAAACTAATTTTTGTTATTAAAAAAAAAAATTCAAATTTCAAGTAAAAATTATTTTTGTTCTTACTTTGGTTGAAAAATAAATAAAAAAAATTCTGTTGAACACTAAAAATGAAAAACTGATAAAATAAATAATTAAAGATACGTATGCAAAGAAATAGTATATTTACATTATCTTAAGATAAAAATTTAACGATCTCTGTTATGTCTAGCAGCATACAAAAGTATGTAAAAAAATAAACACACATACCACCCATTGATCCCAATATACAGTCCTAATTGCAAAATACTATTGGCGTCTTCTGGATTGCCATCGAACGAATGAACGACGCCTTCAGTGAGTTTATCTTTATGTTTTCTAAGAATACTAACAAAATCATCAGCCGCGTTACGGCAATGTAAAAACATCGGCAACTTTAGCGTCGAACAAAGAGAAAGTTGCATCTCAAAGTATTTCTTCTGAGTGTCTTTAGAGCAGAAATTTGTTCTATCATAATCCAATCCCATTTCACCAATAGCCACTATTTTATCGCGGTTATCAGCGGCCAGGTCAGTCATGGACTTCAAGTAGCTTTCTGGATCACCTGAGTCCTCGAATTCGTTGCACCGCGTCGGGTGACATCCTACTGTCGTGAATAGTCTGGCTGAAAAATACAAAACTCATCAAATTAAATCCACTAAATTATTTACATTATACTAGTACTTTTAATAATTATTTTTAAAAAATTGCATTTATAATTTTTTAAAACTTCTAAAAATTAAATTTTCTAAATAAATTTTTCTTGGTATAATTTAATAGTTAAAAAATTTCTAAAAATTGTCAGATATTTCTCAATTTCAATATAATTATTTTATGTCATTGAAATTAGCAGACTTGACAATTTTTTAATTTTTTTTTCAATAATATATCAGATCGATCCCAATTTTTTTTAGAGTTACATTGATCCATTGTGTTAGTCTTTAATAAATAATATAACATACATCTTTCTTCCCAATCTGCATAGTGTTTTGCGCGCCTAAAATAATTTAAAATATTTGCTGTTAGACTTCTTAAGGTAGTACGTGAAAAGCATATTTCAAGAAAATTATGAAATTTTTTTCATCAAAAGATAAATATATTAATAATTCACCACCAAAATTTCAGATTAATTTACCGATTGGCTTTATACATTAGATTAATTTTTTATAAGCTATTTTTTATCTCATCTCTAAAATCGTGATTAATCGTATTAGTGATAAATTTAATTTAAAAAAAATTTACACTTGCCCGACTAATTAAAGTGTATTAATTAATCTATTTATTATTATATTAGAAGTGTCTATTCACTCGTAAAAAAGTCCTGATAAATCTACGCTGCGTGAATTTAAGAGCCTTTACATTCACACAGTGTAGATATATCAGAACTTTTTTACGTGTGAATAGACATGTCCTTTATTATTAATCTTGCCGGTAAAAAAAAATGTTAACTTACAAATCGTTTCTAGGTTTCACCCATTGAATTTCATTATTATTTTCTTCCAACCACTGTTGTATCTCATCATCTAAATCTGGATTATTATTTTGAATATCATTTGAAGATGAGGCAGATTGGCCAGCGGGCTTTGAAACGGAAGGTTTATTATCAACAAGACTATTATTTTTAAGATTTTCTTTATCTCTTAAAGACTGACTAGCACTTTTGGCCGAAAGAGTTTGTGCTTCATTAAAACTATCATCTGAACTATCATCAACAGCACTATTATGTGCAAGATTTCCTTTTTCTTTTAAAGATTGACTAGCACTTTTGGCTGAAACAGTTTGTGCTTCATCAAAACCACCAGTTTCACTATCTGAACTATTAACATTTATTTCAGAATTCGCTTCATTTCTTACAGATGGACTTTGCAATGGTCTTTTATCAATACTTGAATCACTATCTGATTCACTCGACTCAGAAATAATGTATTCATTCTTATTATTACTAGCTCTGTTACGGCTAGCATATTCTTGTCTAAGCACCTGAAAATCATAAATTCAATTTATTGGAATAGCGTACACAATAAAGACTTAGAAGAAAAACATATGATACTGAAATGGAGAGACATCTCATGATTTTTATAATTTTTTAACAAATATATTAGAGGAAAAAAAATTTATTTAAAAAATTTCGCCTTTGGAAGCTCTAAAAAAATATAAATGCAATTCTCTACTTGGTTTATCTTTAAAAAAAAAAATTAAAAAATTGTCTAGTGTCTGCTAATTTTAGTGTGATAAAAAACATTTAATTTAACAGACATCTGACAATTTTTCAGATTTGCGAAAAATAATTTTAAAAAAATTGCATTTTTAATTTTTTTAATTTCCTACATGTCAATTTTTTTTCTTTTGTCATAATTTAATTGTTAAAAAAATTATTTAAATTTAATAAACATCTGCTAAATTAATTTTCATGAGATGCCTGTTAATTTTAGTATCACAAAACATGTAATTTTTATAGCCTTACATTATTATTATTTTGAACCTGGGAAATTTTACGTTCAACTTGAACCGGAGTTACTAGCTGACTACTTCTAAAAATAATTTTTAAATAAAATTTTTTATAACAAAGATAAATTTTATAATAAAAATAATTATCCGTACCTGATACTGGTCGACGGACTCGTTGATTTGCTCGGAGATTTAGCTTTAGAGTTATTGTGAGAATTAGGTACCACATCATCATCGCTACCTGCCGTTGTAGCATCACTGTCATCAAATGAATCATCCCTAAAAAATATAAATACATATTTATGAAAATTAAGTTAGTCGACATTTAGAATTTTTTTTATTAACATAATTATTAAAAAAAAAATTCAATTTTAATAAACTTTAAAAACTATAAGTGCAATTTTTTAAAAATAATATTCAATTCTAATTTAATAATTAAAAAATAACTCCAAAAATTAACAATGTCGGCTAACTTAACTATTATTACATATTTTAGTTTAGATGACAGTCAAAACAGTACTAATGTAATTTTTGATAAAAAAATTTAGAATCAGAAGTGGATATTTTTTTTTATAAGAAAACTTGACTAAATATATAAACATATAAATAAAAATAAGTAAAACCTTGTCTCTTCCACCAACTCATTATCTGAATTCTCTTGTATTATATCGTCTAAAGCTTGAGTTTCAGTAAGATCTTGACAGTCTAATGCTTCTTTCCAAAGATCTGGTGAACTGCAAGGACAGAAGTCTTCATCAAGCATTTTTTATTTATTTTATTTTTTAATGATTTAAAAATTAATAAACAATTTTCGTATTTATTAGTAAGGTTAAATGAAAATTAAATTGTATATCTTAAAATGTAAACACGGAGCCGCAGATGTTTTTTTGAATGTGAAAGGATAGTAAGCAAGTGGCTCTATCTGTCACGACTTTTAGTGCCGGTATTCTATCGTGTGGCACTGCAGTCGATTTATTTGACAGATTCTAATAAATATTTTATTTTATTTTTTTAGTATGGCGTTAAAAAATTTTTTGATTCAGATTGTGGACAGCTTCAACATAGCTTCAAGTATTATCACAAAAAATGATTAAAGATTTATTCTAAAGTTAAACTTAGGATATTATAAATATCAATGCTAAAATTTAAGATAAAGATATTCTGAGAAAACTAATATAATTGTTGACAACATTTGAACAGTGGATCAGAAAGATAAGAAGAGATGAAAATTAAGTTAGTCGACATCTATAAATGTCTAGAATTTTTTTTATTGACAAATAATAAAAAAAAAATGTCATTTGTAAAAATGAAAATTAATTTAGCAGATATTTAATAATTTTCAGAAATTTTGTTAATAACAAATAAATTATGGCAAAAAAAATAAGAAAAAAAAAATTGACAGATAGAAATTAAAAAGAATTAAAAATGCAATTTTTTTAAATAATTTTTTAGAATTAATTTAACTGTTAAATGAAATTAAAAATTTGTCAAGTGACAGCTAACTTTAATGTCATTTTGTAAAAAACTCGAAAAACTGTAAGTGCAATTTTTTAAAAATATTTTTTAGTTATTATTTAGTAAATGAAAAAAATAATGTAACTAAAGTTAGCAGACGTCTAAAAATTTTTAATTTTTCTTATTAATTAAATTACAGCTAAAAAGATATTTTTAAAAAATTGCACTCATAGTTTTTAAAGTTTTTTACAAGTGAATTTTTTTTTTTTAATTTTTTAATTCAAATTTCTTCAATAAAAAATTTCTAAAAATTTTGAAATGTCAGCTAACTTAATTTTCATAAAAAAATATCAAAAATTTAAAAACGTCGGCTAACTTTAGGCTTATTAAGAAGACTATATGACAACTAAATTTTGATTCAAGAAATATGATATAAATTTGAAACTCTGATAAATTATTAAAACTCTTACAGCTTTACTGAAGTAATAAAGGTAAATTTTTTCCGAAAATAAATTATAAAACTAAAATTAGCCGACGTTCAATAACTTTTGATTTTTTTTTAACAATTAAATTTTAATTAATAAAATACTTTAAAAAAATTGCATGTACAATTTTTCAAATCTTCTACAAGTGAACATTTTTCTTTTAATTTTTTTTCTGATAATTTTGTCAATAAAAAAATTATAAAAATTTTCAGATGTCAGCTAATTTATTTTTTTTTAACAAGTTATATGTATAAAAATAAAAAACTTAACTATTTTCTATTGAATTTTCAGCAAACATCTTAATAGTAAGTTACATAAAACTAATCGGATTTGGTATCGTTTAAAAAGTCTTAAAGCTGGGCTGGTACCTTATACAATCATGATAGAATAAAAGTTTCTTATTCAGAAAACTGCATTTACGTAAATGGATTTCACATTGAGGTTTTTATTATTGGAAGAAAAGGCTATAAAATTTTTATTGCAGTTACTTCATTACTCGGATATTTTACGCATCATTGCGTGAGTAATGTAAAGGATCGTCGAATTTTAAGCATCAAAACTTTTTACAATTACATTAACCAGGTATTTAAAAAAAATATTTTTTATTTTTTGGTAAAAGCTACTTAACAATTTTTTCTCTCCGATTATACATTAAGAAGTAATATGCTTTTATTATTTACAAATAATTACTTCTAAATTCGATCGTCAGTAAATAACCAATAAATATTAAATAACTGTACAAAGTATATAAACCCAGAGCTGTCGGTTTATACCCTTCAGTCAATCCGTCATACATCGATCAACAATGCGAATTTTTTTTTTAATCATCATACTCTCAGCAGTCGTGAATTCAAATGATCAGTTAGATAATAATAGAAGAAAAGTATTTAATAAAAAATTATCTGATTCATCAGCACGAACAGAAAGTCTAGGACGTCTTCTTAAGCATATCTTTAGTGAATATTTTAACGGCTGCATTGTAATTATGATGTACGACGATAAAATATACACCGAGTACCCAGGATTGTTGAATATGTTAAATGAAGAATTACCTAGCGTGTCATTCATCAGGAGAGACTTCAATAACTCCCAGAGCGGGTCGTCGGACAAATTACAATCCAAGTGCTACAACTATCTTCTTTTTTTGAACAATATTTACAGTTTGCAAAAAACCTTGTCGAAACAAAATAATAAAAAAGTAGTTGTTGTGTCGCTATCGACACCATGGACCGTGAAAGAATTTTTGAAGAATTTTCCGTCAAGGTCCTACATCAATTTGTTGATTATATCCCACACTATGAGTGCAAGAACTGAGGTAATCTAAATATATTAATGATACAGAAGTTAGCCAATCCCTGATTAAAAAAAAGTATTGAAAAGTATTGAAAAAGTATGTAATTCAATACTTTTTCAATACTTTTCACACACTGTATATCTATATATACATACAATATAGATATACAGTTGCATGGTTCAATACTTTTTTTAAATCAGGGATGTTTTTAATTTCTTGGAATCATTTAATTAGTATTAAAAATTATTTTTTAAAAATTGCATATGTAGTTTTTCAAATTTTTAAAAACTGAAATTTTTTTATTTTCTTGTAATAATTGTTTTAAAAAATTTGTAAATATTTTTAGGGGTCGGTTAACTTAATTTTCATTTTATATTATTAAAAGAATATGCAAAAATTTGTGGCCAGTGTATTTATATGATAAAATAGGTTTTTATAGTTAAATTTGATATCGTTGAAAAAGTTTTGACTTGGAGATGTACCTTTTCAAGATTTTATATCATTCTCACCAATAGTCAATTTATAATGATAAGTATATAGGCTGCATTAGAAAATGCTCTATATACATAATTAAGAAATGACCTTGTACCTCGTGAACTATTGACATTTTTAAATATATAAGCCTATCCCGATGTTATACTCATCGAGACCTTTCATTTGAGTACCCACATCAATTTTTCATATATTTTATATATTTATATATATTATATATACATAATTATGTAAATGTATATAAAAATGCATGTGGGTACTCAAATGAAAGCTCTTGATAAGTGTAACACGAGGATGAGCTTATATCTTAAAAAATGTCAATATTTAAGAAAGTACAGTGCAATTTAATAAAAGTCATTATTTAATAAAGCAAAATTTGATTTATTTTTAGTGTTCACAAGTCACAGCAGTCACATAGTTACTGCAAGGTTGCTAGTGCTAAATAATAAAAGTCACAATAATAATGTAAATTAAATTTAATGATAGTATTTATTTAAGTAGCCAGGCTCTTATTTGCTGTATACCCATAAGCTGTATGCCGACGGAAGTGGTGCAAGTTATCCAACTCTGTTGACTTCTTGGATTAGAGATCATTCGACACAAAAGGCAATCGATCTCTTTCCCGAGAAACTAACTGGCGGTTTCAAGGGCCACAGATTACTCATTGCTACCGCCCACCAATCTCCTTTTGCTATTAGAACGTAAGTTATTTATCATCAATCAACTACACACAAGCTTCTTTATTACTTGTAGTAGAAAATAAGACTATTGAATCACCGTTCGCAATTCTATTATTAACAAATGTCATATTGATTTTGGAATTTCATAATTATCAGCGGAATCGATTGGGATGGAATAGACATACGTATTGTAAAATTGCTCAGTAAAACTCTAAATTTTACCGCTGACTTTCGTGATCCCGTTACGATTAACAGGTTTGCATTTACATACATTATGTTACGATATTGCATTACTTGATTAATCTATCATCTTGATAATACTAGTTTTATTATTATATAATATATATATTTCCCTTTACTTAGTATTACCATACAGTATATTACACCCATAAATCAATATTTATCAACTGATCAATTAAATATTATTTATTACGTCTAGTCCAATTTACGCTGCGACGACGGATGTTATCACCGGAAAAGCATCTGTAGCAGCCGGTGGAATTTACAAAACAACCAATATTACGTCAGTCTTGGATACATCCGCGTCTCATATGGAGGATTGCGCTGCATTTATTTCTTCATCGTCACTGGCATTACCCAAGTATCGAGCCGTCATGGGACCCTTTCAACCCGGCGTCTGGGTTCTCATATGCATTGTTTACTTTATTGCTATTATCCCATTGACAATGAACACTGATTACAGTTTGAGTTCTTTGATAATGAGACCTGGAAGACTTATACACATGTTCTGGTATGTCTTCAGTACATTTACTAATAGTTTTGTTGTTAAAGATCCTTTGACTGTTAATGGATTTGCCAAAAACTCAACAGCGCTTCTGATCGGTACCATTTTTTTTTTTTTTTAAGAATTTTATCATTTTTAATTAAGGGATTATCCTGGTTCCGGCGTTCGAAAAAAAGCAAATGTTCATTATTTTTTTTACACAGAAACTATTATAGATATTTATATGAAATTCATTCAACTCTTGAATAACACAAAATCATCTAACTTTATTTTTTTTTTTAATTCAAAATTTGATATGTCGCTGATATATGATAACTTGATAACGGCTTATCTAAAACATAAAATTCAAAATTATTTATATTCAATATATAAGTAGCTATTGCATAAGCTACGGAGATTAATCTATATTATTAAAAGAATAAGAAAAATTTTGTGGTATATTGATATGATAGAATGGGTTTTTATGGTTAAATTTGGTATCATTAGAAAGGTCTTGACTTGGAGTTGTACCTTTTCAAGGTTTCATATCATTCTCACCAATAGTCAATTTATGATGATAAGTATTTTAGTTAAATTCGAAAATGCTCTATCTCTAGATACATAATTAAGAAATTACCTTGTATCTTGTAAACTATTGACATTTTTAAAGATCTAAGCTCATCCCGATGTTACACTCATCAATACCTTTCATTTGAGTACCCACATCAATTTTTCATATATTTATATATATTATGTATATGTATATATATTAATATGCATGTGGGTACTCAAATGAAAGCTCTTGATGAGTGTAATATCAGGATGAGCTTACATCTTTAAAAATATCAATAATTAAGAAATGACCTTGTATTCTTGTGAACTATTGACATTTTTAAAGATATAAACTCATCCCGATGTTACATTCATCAAGACCTTTCATTTGAGTACCCACATCAATTTTTCATATATTTATATATATATATTATATATATGTATATATGAAAAATATATCAAAAATGCAAGTGGGTACTCAAATCAAAGCTCTTGATTAGGAATAACATCAGGATGAGTTTATATCTTTAAAAA